TCAGAGGTTACTTCCTATGTGTCTAAAACGGAGTCTGACACAGAATAAGAGCTCAAATCCATGACAGTCTAGAATGCATGGAGTACCCTATGACTAAAGCAAACAAGTGCAAACCTCACTCATTCATGGAGTCATTCAATAAACAGTGCACTTGTAAGAACAAGTTGTAAGAGAATAAACATAGACTAGGGGAGAATGGTCATGTCAGAAGTCTTTCCAGAGATGAGTTTTGAATCATGGCTAGGTCAGGAGTGATGGAGAACCTGAGGGTCAGGGTCAAAGTTGAAGTGGAGGAAAGATGCAGGCACAGAGCCTGTAGAAATGCAATGAGAGCTAAATGCAGTGACAGCTAAACTATTTTCTGTGCCACTAATATGCATAGTCTTCCATCACACACCATTGATATTCATAGAAAAGTAAGCATGTAAGATGATGCTTATAATGTACCCCAAGCCCTCCCCTTCCAAGCCTGCCTCACCCCTCTTTGCAATGCCTCACCAGGCCACCAGGATTGCTTGGGCAGTCTTTGTTTCTCGCCCCTCCCGTCGACTGAGGTTCCTTGCTGCTCTCACCACTTCTTCCTTAGTTCGGAAATCTCCTAGGGACCACTCATGTACAGGGCTTTCCCCATACTGTACCAATCCCACCTGGAAATAAAGTGTGCAATCAAATGGAATGTGGGCACATGGGAGAGGAGGAAAAAGGGAAAAGAAAGTTGTGAGAGAATGGAGTTGACTAGCTAGATACTACTGAAAACACAATTTATATTCATCCCCTCTCTTCCCATCTCTTTGCTGCCATCCATCTTGCTTTCTCTTACCTGTATCTGCTCTGGATCAATAAACAGTCTCCCTACCAGCCTTCTCAGGAAGGTCTGAACTTCAGACCAAGGGTAGATGCTGTTGGAGCCATCCAGAACAATGACAACATCCATGTAGGTGGGGCAGCCTAAGAGTAAGAGTATGGTTAAGGGGAACCAAGAAGTAGAGGGATATTTGGGCTGGGGAGCAACAAGAGGTCATGGGTGGGTACATTTAATTCATACATTTATCAGGCACTCCTCACATGCGCAGGAGGAAATGTACCAAGTGCAGGAATGAATGAAAGAGGAGAAGCACATATTCGCCAAGAAACAAAGAAGAAATAAGTGCTAGGTGGAAACTTAGCACCACCATGTGCTATAGAATGAGTGGGTTAGTTCTGGTGCTGGGAACCACAGGAGACAGCAACCAGGAAGACACTGAAAACTGAAAATATCTCAGGAGAGGGGGAGCAGGTCAAACAAAAGGAAAGGGAGGTATGAAAACAGATGACACATAGGAGCATGGGGAGATGAAGGCATGTGGGCAAGGCACCGAAGGTGTAAAGGGAGAAGGTGTTTTTGATCTGGCTATGTCATAGTATGGAGGCTAGAGGCCTTAGTAAGAAGTTTGCTTATATTCCACTAGAGAATATGAAGCTTTTGCAGGTACATTAGGAAGCAGCAAGGACAGCCCTGCGAGTCCTCTGCTAGGCATGGAATCCCTTTGCCCCAGCTTTTCCCCACCCAGCACCCCCTTCCAAGAATTGAGTCCTTGGGTCCTCCTTCGGGCTCACGTTGGGCAGTGGGTGCCAGGCTTCCCTGAGGCCGAAATGAAGCATCCACATGGGCACATATCCCAGAACTGAAGACAGAGCTGCCGCAAGCACGAGACCAAAGAGGGGCACAGGCCTGGGAAGCAGTGGGAGAAATCATTAGTTTGGTAAGGTACCCTCAGAACAAGTTCCCAGCTAAAGCGAAACTTTGAGACTATTTCTGGAGATGCCCCAACCTTGTTATGCAGTAATTTTTTTAAGCAATTTCTTTTCTCTTACATTGCTTTTTTTTTTTTTTTTTTTTGCTATGCAGTAATTTTAACTCTTTGGCCTCTCCATGTAGACCAGCTTCCCTTACCTCACCACTCTTGCCTCTGCCACCAGCCTTCAGAGACCCTGCTGCCACCTTTCCTTAGCTCACCATAAATCCCCCACTGCCATCCGTCTCCAGTAGAGACATCCCCAGGTGCATATTCACAGCAGGACGAGACGAATTTCCCAGTTGATAATCACCTGGTTGGGATGAGGATGGGGGGAGGGAGGAGAAGGAAGAGTGTGGGTCACAGGTGGAGCTTGAGTTCAGAGTGAGTTTTGGGAGGGATTGGCACCAGAGGAGGATGCAGTGTGAGTTACAAGGGTGAAGAAACATGTATAAGGGATCAAAGTTGCAAAGGTATCAAGGTTAAGAGTCGAGGAGAAGCATCAGACGTCTTACCCAAGTGGCTCTTGGCACATGGGGCACTGTGAGCGCCCCCTATGGGACAACGATAGACATCCCCTCTCCGATCTCCAGAAGGCCCATCCCAGGGGGCACCCACCAGCATCCTAAGAGGAAGATATGAAGATAAAAGCATAGGGTGAACATGACCTTTGACACAAACCCTAGGGACAGTGCACGTAGGTGGCAACTTCAGAGCCCCAGCCACACTGAAAAGTGCAGATAAACACATATTCCCATCCATCTTGCCTCCCCTCCATCAGTACAGTCCCATTCCCATGAAATTCTCATAACCTCACCATCGTCGTCCACCCACAACATGCTGTAAAACACTGTATCCAAATTCAGCCTCTGGTGGCCCTGGGAACATGCGTGGGTGATGCACATCCAGGTTAAAGGAGAAGCAGAGACCTGGGGGCCAGGATCGTAAGGTTAATCTGGAATGTTCAGAGTCAATAAGTCACCAGAGAGAAGTCATGAGGGAATGTCTTGGGATCAGTGTCTCTCCCTGCTTCTTACTGATGAGTTCTCCTGGCCTTTGTCAATGTCATGTATTCCGATGACCATCTTCCTGTTTGGGTCTAGTGGCTCTCTGCCATGCTGAAGCACAGCTGTATTTTTATTCTTGCTCCTGAAATCTCATTCACAGACATATCTGGAAAAGTCAAGTTACGCTCTTGTGCCTCATTCCTCCTACACATCCTCCTCTGTGAGGGCCCAAAAAGGGAGGGGGCCTTTTGCAGACCCAGAACAACATCCCTTCCCAGAACAAGAGGGAGAATGAGAAGAGGTGAAGGAGCACCAAGTGTCTGGGTCCCTCTTCTTTCTAGCTCTTCTTGATTTCCAGGGCTCCTGCCACACTTTCACTCTCTAATGCCTAGGTCCCTCCTCGGTTCCAGCCCTGGCAACCTCAGTGGTAATTAACCGGGTGGGGCCACCCGCCTGCTCACACACAGTTTGCCATCTGCGCTTACCAAGGGTCCCATCACCCCCAAAGTTTCCCACAACCCGCTTCCTTTTAACTCATTCACTCTCCCAACTTTTTATCTGTCCACCACCATGGTTCCAGTCTCCAGACCACAACATAGACCCCCAATCATGTTCTGGTTGATTCATCCCCTTACTCCAATTCCTCTAAATCAGAGCTGGTATTTTAGGAAACAAAGATTACAGAGCACTGGAAAGGAAGAATTTCAGGCCTCTTGCCTCTCCCATGGCTCCTTCCCCAAGTGTGCCTGGCTCTGGATTTTCAAGCAGCCCCCTCTCAGGCTACACATCCCCCTGCTTCCCCAGCACACACACCCCACCACTAAAGGCTATAGCTCTATCCCAGGCCACGTTCATTTTTCAGAAAGGTGCTTTCTATGTGAACCTTTTTATTTTCAGGAAACTGGCAGGGCTGTATGATCTGGAGCTGTACCTCACAGGTTGGGTAAACCCAGAGTTCTGACCACATAGTCAGTTATGCCTCAAGCCTCAAAGACCACCAACGGTAGTAGAGGGAAGGACTCTAATAGGAATCAGACCAGCCACGTGGAAGGTCCCATTATGTTTCTGTCTCCTCAATCCTACAGTGAATTTTTAGAAAATTAAATGTAAATCTAATGCAAAGGCCTGGGTACTTTTAGCCTTTGTCCGTCTTGCTAACGAAGCAGTCATGTTAAAGATGTGAATAATACACACACATGCGCACGCACACACACATAGAATCAATACTAACTTTTTACCCTGCCTCCTAAAGAATTTTACCCCTAATGGTCCCATCTCAAATCTCTCATTCCCAGAAGAAATGAAGAAAACTTCCCTCACCTGTCAGGAACATCAGGGGCAAGAACAGGTGAGGGAAGAGGGCGAGCTTCATGCCTGGTTGTTCTCTGTCCTGTATGCAAAGTCCTCTGTGCCTCTGTCCCTCTCTTTTTCTGTTTTCTTTACTTTCCCTCTCATCCTGCCCCCTCCCACTGGCAGCTAAAAATAAAATTGGAAGGAATGGGAGGAGTGATGGTGGGGAACTGTGGGGAGCCCCAGACTAAGGAAAGGATTGAGCCCTCTTAGTCTCTCCTTCTCTGCCTTGATGCTGCCCCCTGCAGGCCTCACTTCAACATCCAAGGCAAACGGCATTTGGACCATTTGTCCTGTTTGTTCTCCATCTTTTCTTGTTGCCTGTCAATATTCTTCTCAGGCTTAGAAGAGAGAGACTAGGAGTGGAACGCCGATTCCTCTCACTCCCTAACTTTATTGATACCAACCTGGGATAAGGAAATCTAAAGAGCTGACACAAGTGGTATCATTTCCTCACCCTCCCAAGGGAATCCCAACCTGTGAAGACACAGCCCCCAAACCGAGCCTTACCTGCCACACACCATTCAATTTTGTTTGTGGCTTTTGACTTACGCTGCCTTGCAGTGTTACAATTCTTGGTGATATATCTATGATGTAGTATTTTGTGAGGCTAGTATAATCACTTCAGCATTAAATTGCATCTCCTCACTCAAACCTAACTTCTCAACTAGGCTATACACTTCTTGAAGTTTATGATGAGAACCATGGAGCTTCTTAGCTTTTTGTATGTTCACTACCTAGGATCTTGTCCTTCACACTGAATGTACTCAATGAAAATGTATGAATAACGTTAGTATAGAATATAAACCATAGTGATAAGAATAAGGACCTCAAACAAGCAAAACATGAGTGATCAGACCAATTGTTGATGAGTAAATGGATCTTTAATTTGTTGACTTGGAAGAGTTGAGGACACTAGCCATAAATATTTACATGGACTCATTGTACAATATTTACAAGATGCTAGACACAGCATCGTGCTAGACAGGCAAAGAACGGGTAAGAATAGACCAGGCAACAGAGTTCTGAAATAAAAGTGTAAACCAAAATCCAAAGATTCAAGTACAGGAAGGGTCAGGAGCAAATTATGAAGGAGGCTGAGAAAGGAAACATGGGGGGAAAGGAAGCATCAGATAGTCTATTTTACAAAGCTAGCAAGTGAGAGCTCACCAGGACACAAAGTCTCAAAATTATGATTTACAATCCAAAGACTCTGCCACCAGCTACCTCTGTGAGAAAAAATAAGGTAATTAGAATCTTACAGACCACATCTTATACCTTGTCTATCTGATAAAATTCCTGGACAGGAGATTAAAAAGGTAAAAAGAGATGTACAGTGGCAGACCCTTAAACAGACTTGAGGAACAAATTAAAAATTCAAGAGAGACACAGGCAATGAAAAAGAACCAGCACACAAGCTCAGGCATACCTGGGTATTAGGATCGTCCTACCCACTTCACAGGTTACCTTTCCTTATCTCATCTTTTCCAAAGCTCCTCCTCCCGCCTCTAAAATCACTGGATTTTTATCCTAATCCAGGAGAATTAAAATAAGGCCGGTATATGGGGAAGACAGAAGATTCCACCTCCCAGAGTCAGGTCTCTGCCTTATCCTGTACCAGAACGTTAGGGCTTGAGTCGTAGCCAGGGACAGATAAGGGTGAGAATAGACAGGATGGAGGACACAAGGCCACAAAGTCCCACGATCCCAGGGCCACAGCGCCAGAGGCCTAGTTTGTCCAGTGGAATGAAGAGATCACAGGCGTTTCTGATCACATCCAGCAGAAGCGGGGGATGACCTCGAAGGACCCGAGCCAGCAGCAGCACTCGGAGCCGAAGCTTCAGAGCCAGTTGGGGAAGGCTTCCTCCCAGGCTCCCGGGGCTGCTGGGCCCCCCAGTTTCAGTTCCTCCTAGAACACTTCCTCCGGAACCCTTTAGTCGCCGGCTATAAGCTGAAGACTCTTGTTCCATGAGGAGACGAATCTCGTAAGCATCACGGCTCAAATTCATGATGAGGGAAAACAAATAGTACCTGAAACACACAAGAAAGAAGGGCCAGTAAGGGCAGCTGTACTTTCTTATCACTTCCAACGTACCACTTTAACAAAGGGACTGATTATACCTTAAGGGTCTATGTTTGGCCTAGTAATTAAAAAATGACCAATCCCTCATCAGAGCACTTAGCTCAGCACCTCACCTCCAGCTACCAACACCAGCTTTGTGCAAATCCTAGGAGGATGGCTCAAATGACTGGGTTCCTGCCACCCAAGTGGGAAACCTGAGTTTTCAGTTCCTGGCTTTGAACTGGTGCTTGATGTGGCTTTGAGGGTCTGAATCAGTGGACAGGTACACTGCCTCCCTCTGTGTCTCTCAAGTAAACATGTAATTGTATATACTTTTTTTAGATTTATTATTTTTATTTTTATTATAAAGTCAGATACACAGAGAGGAGGAGAGACAGAGAGGAAGATCTTCCATTCATTGATTCACTCCCCAAAATGGCTGCAACGAATAGAGCTGTGCCAATCCGAAGCCAGGAACTAGGAGCCTCTTCTGGGTCTCCCATGTGGGTGCAGGGTCCCAAGGCTTTGGGCCATCTTTGACTTATTTCCCAGGCCACAAGCAGGGAGCTGGATGGGAAAAGGGATATGAACCAGCAACCATATGGTATCCTGGAGCATGCATGGTGAGGACTTTAGCTGCCAGGCTACTGTGCCAAGCTCTATATAAATTTTTTTAAAAAGATTGATTTATTTTTATTGGAAAGGTAGGTTTATGGAGAGGAAAGACAAAGATCTTTAATTTGCTGGTTCACTCTCAAGTGGCCGCAACAGCCAGAGCTGAGCTATTCCAAAACCAGGAGCCAGGAGCTTCTTCTGGGTCTCCCACACAGTTAGTGTCCCAAGACTTTGGGCTGTCCTCTACTGTTTTCCTAGGCCACATGCAGGGAGCTGGATGGGAAGTGGATCAGCTGGGACATGAACCAGCACCCATATGTGCTACTGGCACTTGCAGGCAGAGGGTTGGCCAACTAAACCTTCATGTCAGCCCCAACATATGATTTTTCTCTTTAAAAATGGGGAAGGGGGACTATACACTAGAGCATCAGCAGTGAACACTATCACTCATTAACAGAAATATTAGAGTGGTCCTACTCCAGGTGTAGAGGGGGGAGGGGGCACCCCCATGCTTCTAAATCTGTATCGTGAAAAAGGTGAGATCTTCATGGTTGCCACGGTTACCAGATTTGCTTTGAGCCCAGTCAATCACTCTGACCTCAGACTGAAACCCAGAAAGGACAGAAGAAATCTGGCACGCCCCTGAAATCTGGCCTAACAGAGCCACTGTTGGACCAATGACGGACGCCAGCCAATATCCAACACCAAGTAAGGACCGAAGCTTCCATGTCAAGCGGGGCTTAAACTCCCTGCACACCCTTTCCTCGCCTTTCTTTCTGTACTTTTATGGCTCCTTCTCTATGTCAGTCTGCTGCAAGGGAGAAAGGCCCGTGAACTGGGGTTTCTTTGAATAAAGGCCATCTATATTCTTTTCTATACTTGGCTGATATGTTCCTTCTTGAGTGGTGAGCAAATCTAACATTTCTCATTTTACATAAATTTAAAAAACAAACAATAATTCAAAAAAACAAGAAATGTCCTCCTTTGAGGACAGTATATTAAATAAGTCACACATAAATAGACAAATACAGTGTGATGTCACTTATCTGTGTAATCTAAAATAGTCTAACTCAGAACCACAGATGGAATAGTGCAAGGAATGATAGTTGCAAGGGGTTTAGCAGTGAGGGAAACAGGAAGGTATTGGTCAAGGTACAAAGCTTCAGTATTGCAAGATGGATAGATCTGGAGATCTGATGTCCATCTAATGTAAACCACGGTACCTATAGCTAACAATACTGTACTATCTATTTGAAATTTGCTAAGAGCATAGATCTTAGGTTTTCTTACTGTTTAAAAAATGGTAACTATATTAGGTGATGGATACTTTAATCAGTTTGTGATCATTTAACACGCATATTAAAAAATGGAGCTGTACATCTTAAATGTAATTTCTACTTGTCAATTATGCTCCCAAAATTACAGAAAAAAAATGCCTTCCCACCCTTCTAAAATTAACATGTGCTTAAAATGGATCTCAAGATCCTGATTAAAATTTATGAGCATCAGGGTGAGAACTGGGGCTGGGAGCGGGCCTGGCACATGTTTTATTGGTGTGCAAAGGGTCAAGGGCTACAGGAAAGTGGGCAAAATAATTGTTTTTACATTCTCTTCTGTCCTTCCTGTATCTGGAGAGAGGGGAGACTTAACAAGAGAAGCCACACCCAGTCTTCCTACCAACCCAGGGTCTCCGATGTGGGGCATGCTCCGAGGGTCCTGCTCAAGTGGTTTTGATAGGTCAATAGTTCTGTATTGCTGCCAGTCGCCACTCCAATCATAATGAAATTTCTTCAGACTCCACTAACTGATACAGTCCACCTTAGAGTCTCCATTTGCCCAGGAGACTCACTGCCAACTATTTTCTGGGATAGCTGATCTATCTGTTCTGTCCTCCGTCCTCTGTTATGGTACCAATTGTCCTCTGCATGCTCCAGTGTACTGCCATATCCTCCATATGCATCTGGATATGCTGTCTACTGCTCTGTCTAAGCCATGCCCATGCTTTCCATGGTCAGATCACAGAACCTGCAATTTCCTCCACGGTTGGAGTTCTGAGTCCAGCAGTTCAGTTGGGGGGATTCCCAAAGAAACTTCATCTGAGGTGATCCCAGATCTGATTCTTGTGTGCGCATGCCAATACAGGGTCCAGCACAGTCCGTCACCCAAATCGGCCTTTGTGCACACTGTTAGTCGCAATTGCTGGGTCAGTTCTGTCTCCAGCCCTGTCTTCTATGTAAACTAATGGGTGTTGCAGTCCAGCCCAATCCAGCACACCACACACTCGGCCCTCATGCAAACCAGTGGGAGCTGCAGCCTAGCCAGAGCAACCTGCAATAACCCCCATCAGGCCCACCCCCTGCCCTAGTTCCCATGCTTGCCAGTATGTACAGCAGACTGTTTTGTCTGTCCCACATCCCATTCAGATCTCACACATGTCAATGGGCATTGAAGCCTAGTTCAACCCAACCAGGCCCACTATCCAGCCCACACATGTACTGGCAAGTGCGACTGTCTGTCTAGCCATGCCTGTCCCAGTCCTGATTCTCATTCTCACCAGTCAGAGTGGCAGCATGAGGGGGAAGTGCTCAGTGTTTTCCTACTGGGCCCACTCCCACTGCGGATCTTGTACTTTCCAGGCAGTACTGCAGTTTAGCTTGACAGAGTTTTCCCTTTGTGCCAGAATCTGTTAGCTGATGCTACGGCAAAGTTCAACCAACCCACACCCTCAGGCTTATGCATGGACCAGCAGCAGGTACAGTCCTAGGCTGTAGTACTTCCGAGCGCATGTGAGAGCTGGGGGCTGGGGTGGGCTGGGTGGGTTAGACCACAACACTGATCAGTGTACATAAAAGCCAGGGTGGGTTAGGTTTCACAGTGCTGGGTTCAAGCCTTGGTTACTCGGCTTCTGATCCAGCTTCCTGCTAACGCACCTGGGAGGTAGCAGAGACTAGTTCAAGTATTCGAGCCTCTGTCACCTATGTAGGAGAGCTAGAGCGAGTTTCTGGATCCTGGCTTCAGCCTGGCTCAGCCCTGGCTGGTAAGCAGCAGGCTTTGGAGAAGTAAACCAGTGAATGGAATATTTGTCTCTTTCTCTCTCTGTAACTTTGCCTTTCAATTAAATAAGCAAATCTTCAAAACAAAATTTTCTTAGGTACAAAATTTGTGTGGTTTTTGTTTGGTTTTTTTTTTTTTTAAGATTTATTTAATTTCATTGTAAAGCCAGATATACAGAAAGGAGGAGAGATGGGGAGGAAGATCTTCCATCCATTGATTCACTCCTCAAGTCGCCGCAATGGCCAGAGCTACGCTGATCTGAAGCTAGGAGCCAGGAGCTTCTTTCGGGTCTCCCCCACAGGTGCAGAGTCCCAAGGCTTTGGGCCATCCTCAACTGCCTTCCCAGACCACAAGCAGGGAGCTAGATGGGAAGCAGGGCCTCTGGGATTAGAAATGGCACCCATATGGGATCCCAGTGCATGCAAGACGAGGACTTTAGCTTCTAAGCTATCGTGCTGGGCCCATTTATTTTACTTTCATTAACTTGAAAGGCAGCGCTGAGTGAGAGAGATTGATCTGCCATGTGCAATTTATTTCCCAAATGCTTGCAATATCCAGGGCTGGGCCAAAAGAAGGAGCCCGAATTCTATCTGGGTCTCCCTTGTGTGTGGTAGGGACCCAAGCACCTGAGCCATGATCTACTGCCTTCTACAATGCATTCGCGGGAAACTGGAAAGGAAATGGAAGAGCTAGGTCTTAAACTGATCCTCTGATACAGGACAAGAGCATCCTAAGCAGCAACCTAACTTGTGGTTTTTATTTCATATACTCTGACAAGGGTGGGCTGAACTCAATAAATTGTCCTAAATATAACCGAATATATCCTAAATTCAGCTACATTTAACATACTCCGGTACCACAAGGCAACATGTTATCTATTTTCTCCCTGAACTACGGCTTTAACTTTTTTCTTTTTTTTTCTTTTAATAAAATTTATTTTGACATTCTTTACATAGTTAATTAGGGTAAGAAGGTTCAAGGGCTACAGGAAAGTGGATAATACTAGTATGTTTTCCATATTGTTACCTTCATGTTTAAAGGGGGTATTAAGGGAGAAGGCCCACCCAATTTCTCACCCTCCCAAGGTCCCGGATGTAGGGCATGCTCTGAGGTTCTTGCTTAAGTGGTTTTGATATTGCCACAGTTATGAATCACTGTCAATCTTGCCACTCCAAGCACTATGAGGTCTTTGAAAAATCCACTGATTGACTTAGTCCATCATAGTGTCACTATTTGCCTGGTATTTTGTTGCCAACCTATAGCTGAGGTGGTTGAATAACTTGTTCCATCTTCTCTCCCTTCATGGTTAGGGTTCTGATTTATTTATTTTTATTGGAAAGTCACATTTACAGAGAGAAGGAGACAGAGGAATTTCTTCTGTCCATTGCCTCACTCCCAAGTGGCTGCAATGGCTGGAGCTGAGCCAATCTGAAGCCAGGAGCCAGGAGCTTCTTCCAGGTCTCCCATGCAGGTGCAGAGCCTCAAGGCTTTGGGCTGTCCTCAACTGCTTTCCCAGGCCACAAGCAGGGAGCTGGATGGGAAGTGAGGCAGCCAGGACATGAACCAGGGACACAAGGACACAAACTGGTGTCCATATGAAATCCAAGTGTGTGCAAGGTGAGTTTAGCCACTAGGCTACTGTACCGGGCTCAACTTATTTTTTCATGGTAGCAAGATATTTTTTTTTTAATAAAGATTTATTTTTCTTATTTTTTTATTGGAAAGGCAGATATACAGAGAGGAGAGACAGAGAGGAAGATCTTCCGTCCGATGAGTCACTCCCCAAGTGAGCGCAACAGCCAATGCTATGCCGATCCAAAGCCAGGAGCCTCTTCCAGGTCTCCCACGTGGGTGCAGGGTCCCAAAGCTTTGGGCCGTCCTCGACTGCTTTCCCAGGCCACAGGCAGGGAGCTGGAAGGGAAGCGGGGCCGCTGGGATTAGAACCAGCGCCCATATGGGATCCTGGGCGTGCAAGGCGAGGACCTTAACCACTGCGCCACAGCGCCGGGCCCAAAGAGATGTTTTTTAAACACAATTTGAATTATATCATACCCTGTTCAGAACTTTTCAAATTAAGTCCCAGTGTACTTTAGATAAGATTTAAATGGAAGAAAACATTTTTTTACCATTGCCTAAGTGAATGAATGTTCTGGGGCCCAGCAGCATGGCCTAGCGGCTAAAGTCCTCGCCTTGAGTGCGCCCAGGATCCCATATGGGCTGCCAGTTCTAATCCCGGCAGCTACACTTCCCATCCAGCTCCCTGCTTGTGGCCTGTGAAGGCAGTTGAGGAAGGCCCAATGCTTTGAGACCCTGCACCCGTGTGGGAGACCTGTGGATGGTTCCTGGCTCCTGGCTTTGGATCAGCACAGCACCGGCTGTTGTGCTCACTTGGGAAGTGAATCATCAGATGGAAGATCTTCCTCTCTGTCTCTTCAGCTCTCTGTATATCTGCCTTTCCAATAAAAATAAATACATCTTTAAAAACAAATAGATAGAGAAATAAATTTTTAAAAAATGAATGTTCTGGTCCCTGTCTCAAATTTGAAATTACATTCTTTATTCAGTATTGTTCAAAAAAGTGATATTCTTCCTATTATTCTAATTCCCTGAAGTTTTTCTTGGCTCAAAGCCTTAGAATATGCTATTTTCTTTATTTTGAAAAGTCTTTTCTGCTACTGTTGGTTTTTTAAAATAATATGTGTACTTACTTATTTATTTGAAAGGCAGCACTACAGAGAGAGAAAGACAGACATACAGAAATTTTTCATCTGCTGCTTCACTCCCCAGGTGATCTCAACAGGCCAGGGTTGGGTCAGGCTGAAGCCAGAAACTTTATTCGTAGTCTCCCCCATGGGTGGCAGGGGCCTAAGCATTTGGACCATTCTGTTGCTTTCTCAAGTGCATTAGCATGGGGCTAAACTGGAAATGTAGCAGCCAGGACACGATCTGGCATTCTATTGGATGCTGGCAGTGCAGAGAGAAGCTTAACCCACCGTACCACCATGTCAGCTCCTATGGTTGGTTTATGTATCTCCTAGGCAGATTTCAGGTGTCAACTAAAGTACTAGTGTTTCAGAGTGTTTCCCTTATAGTTTCTACTAGCTCCCCTTGCTATATATGTTAATAATGTTTTACATTTTAAAATCTGTATAAATGTGATTTAATATCTGATTCCCTCGGTAGACTAGATCTCTCTTTGGCACAAACACCATATCTCATTAGCTCTTTGCTTTATTTCCATAGGAAGCACCAAATATTTTTAGGCTGCATGACTGAGTGAGTAGGTGGGAGGGAGAGGTATAACCTGTGGTACAGACAGAAATTAAAGTGATGTAATATCTCGTCCCAGCCAAACTGAAGCCATTTACTGCTATTCCCTCTTTGATTGTTTAAGCTCGAAATGAAGACCGGAAGCCAAGTGATAGACATACACATTCTAGGGCAGTTCTGAGAGAAGATATTTCCTTCATAAATGGGAAGCCATACAGGAGGGAGGCTACAAAAGGTCTTGTAGGATAATAAGAGGATGTCAAACCTGAAAGAACGCTGAGCCCACTTCTCCTGGTCCACACGGGGAGCTAATCCGGACTTTCCTGCCCACAGCACGTTGTCACAGGCGAAGTACAGGGCGCGATTGAGGTGACTAACAGTGATGCAGAACCTCAGGACCACATCTGACAGGTGCACGGCTCTCTTGGCTGACTCCAGAGCATCCGCGGAATTTCCCAGGCGCAGGACTTGTGGAGATTGGTGAGGAAACACAAGGGTTTGGGAGTGGAAAGGCAAATGGGAAGAGGTCAAAGTTGAACAAGAGACAGCAATAAACATTTTTTAAAAAGCAGAAACGGTTCATTCTTGTTTTCTTTTTTAAAATATGTTTGCCCCAGATTAGTTTTCTTAAACTCGTCCCATTCTCTTCCATCTTCTATTACTTCCTTATCCGCTGCTCTTAGCAATTAGAGGGACATGTTCAGAGTCAAATGTGGGAAGACTGGCAGAGGGGATAAAAAAGCAAAAACAAACAAACAAAAAAAAAACCAAAAAAAAAAAAAAAAAGAGAGAGAGAGAGAAGAAAAAGAAAAAGGAGGGTCTGAGGGAGAAAGAACACCGCAGCGGTGGAGGGAGGGCTGGAGATACAAAGAAAGACCGCGGTACTTACGCTTCCTCCCAAGGCTCAGGTGGCCCTCCAGCTGCCGAATCTGCTTCTGTAACTCAGGACTGGCCCCATGTCTCTGCAATGCGTGGCCGAGGAGGGAGCAAGCGTACTGTGCAGCCCTGGAGGAAAGGACAGGCAGGGTAGCACGCGGACCTGCTGAACCCGCCTCTCAGGAATGTCGCCCAAAAACCACCTGCCCTTCTTCCAGTTTGAGGCCATTCTCTTTGCCCCTCTCGAAGCCCACCCCATCCGTTTCTCCTTCAGGCAGGGGGAAAAAGAAAAGCATGAGGGGAAAACGGGGAGCTAGATAGAGGTAGGGAAGTTGTATTTAGAATTGAGAAGAGTTTTGACAAGCAGGGGGCCGGGGAAGGAAGCAGCTGTCCACCGAGGGCGGGGACGAGCACGCCCCAGATGTGTGAGGCAGAGGAGGGTAGCTGGCGGGCAGGTGAACTAAATGTTCTCAAGGCCCTCGGGCTGAATCAAGACCAGAAAGGGGGCAGAAGCAGAGGACCTCCCGGGGTGACCACAGGGCGAGGGCACACAAAGTCCGGGCGCCCAGGGGGACGAAGTTCAGCTCGCCATCCCCCACGGCGTGAACACTTCCACCACCGCCCAGGGAGGAAACTGCTGGGTCTCAGTGAACCCGGTGACCCTGAGCGACCTCTCCACCGGCCCACTCGTGCCTCAGTTTCCCCATCTTTGCCGCGAGCAGAAAAGTATCATCTCTTCGTGGCCGGCTCAGCCCTGCCCGTGGCTGTCCGTCCGAGGCCCCCGTAGTCGGGTGTTGACCCTCTTTGACCCCCGTAGCCCGACCTGCCCTCTCGTCTCCCGAGGCTCTCCCGCTGCCCGCCCTCGCCGCGTGCCTCTTCAGGTCTCACCTGCACAGTCGCTCCCGGGCCTGACTCTGAGCACTGAAGTGGACCCAGGCGTCCATGACAGCGGCAGCCACGGCTCCGCGGCCCCGCTCCCGTCCCCACTTCCCGCCCCTAGTCACGCCTTCCCGGGTGACCCAACGGTGCCGTGCGAGGGACAAACAGCATCGGGAAGGAAAGCGAGTGCAGCCGGCCCTTGCCGCGGAATTTCAGGTCTCGAAGTTCCGGATATCTAGACCTACACCAGCGTGATGTCGTGCGTGTGTCAGATTCCCGTATCAGAAGTTCTCCATTCCCTAAACTCCTCTCCGGAGGCACCTTTTTTTTCTTTAAATATTCTAGTCCTAGGGCGGCGCCCGCAGGCCCGGGGGCGGAGCGAGGAAGCGCCGCAGGGAAATCCTGGCGGCTGGGCTAGATTTCTTCTGAGGGTACAGCCCCGGGTACGCCCAGCACGACACACTCCACGCACGTGCACGCAAGCTATTTTTGTTGCAAAGACAGATTCTGCAGGGAGAGGAGACTGAAAGATCTTCCATCCGCTGGTTTACTTCGCAAATGGCTGCAACAGCCAGAGCTGGGCTAACTTGAAGTCAGGAGCCTCCTCCAAATCTCTCATGCTGTGTAGGGTTCGAAGGACTTGAACCATTCTCTGCTTTCCCAGGCCACAATCAGGGAGTTTGACTGGAAGTGGAGCAGCCAGCACACGAGCCAGCACCCAATATGGGATGCCAGCACTTGGAGGTGTTAGCCTGCTAAGGCATCGCACTGCCCCTAAATGCCATCTGGACTGTCATTACATTTCTCTAATGGCGATGTATGCTGCAGCTTTCTTGCTTGTGGTCATGGAGTGTCACCACCAGGTAATACTCAACCCATTCACCCCTGCTCAGGTAGAAGGAAACTTCTTGAGGCAGCTGGAGAACTTCCTGTCTGCTTTGCCCTAAGTGAGTGACTTGGGATCCTGGGCTGGGTTGGACAGGAGTTTGGCTGTTAGGCTGTGCCTGGCCTCCATTAGCCACTAACCCGCTGGGAGGGTGCCTCTGCCCTCCTCAACAAGTTGAGATCACATGTGTGTTCATTTACAGGTTGAGCGTACCTTCAATAAACTGCTCTGTCCCTTATCCTTCAGGATGGCCACAGTGCTGTGCTGGGCTTCCACCGTTTGGCATCTTCCCAATCCTACCTGCCTCGGGTTCCTGCAAAAAGTCTCTAGGTCAAGGAAGAAACATAATGGGAGCCTATCAGGAAAAATGAAGTCAGGCTTAGGGTAAAACATTGTAGTATGTTCATTCAGACATTTAAAAAGATGTGCAATCCGTATGCAGCAATATCCTGACTTCAACAAGTGAGTGTACTAGCACAGGAGACAAATGAAGCAGTGTTATGCTAAAGTAAAGAGCTACAGAACACAGCCCAGATCTTGCTGTCAGGGGAAGCATTCTAGATATTAAAATTTGATTCCTGAGAAATAGGCGTTGGACACTTTTGGATCAAGCATTTTGGAATGAGGTAGTAGATGGAAGATAGCTGTCCCTCTGTTGCTTTAGCTTCCAAGGACATGAAAATGTGGATGTACAGAGAGGAGGAGAGACAGAGAGGAAGATCTTCCATCCGATGATTCACTCCGCGAGCGCAATGCCCGATGCTGTGCCGATCCGAAGCCAGGAGCCAGGAGCCAGGAACTTCCTCCAGCTCTCGCTCGCACATGCAGGGTCCCAAGGCTTTGGGCCATCCTCGACTGCCTTCCCAGGCCATAAACAGGGAGCTGGATGGGAAGTGGAGCTGCCAGGATTAGAGTTGGTACTCATATGGTATCTTGGCGCATTCAAGGTGAGGAATTTAGCCGCTAGGCCACAGCGCCGGGTCCAAAACTAAACATTTTTTAAGTGTCAAATTTAAAATGTTTTTATAGTGTGGTGTTAGTATGGTGAGAGTATTAGGAGTAGTTAAAAATGCAGTCTCATAGGGACAAGACTCCATGTTATCAATTGTTGAAAGAAAAAAAATATTTGAAAGGCAGTTACAAAATCTTCCATCCATCAGGCCAAAAAAAATATTCAAGAATTGAAAGACACTATTAAGAGGCCTAATATAAGAAAAAATATGAAAAAAAAAATCAATTGACATATAAAGGAATGCCAATTAAACTCACAGGAGATCTCTCACAGCAAACTCTACAGGGAAGAAGAGAATGGATTGACATATTCCATATCCTAAAAGGAAAAAAACTGTCGGCCTAGGATAACACATCTAGGAAAGCTTTCTTTTGTTTTTGAAAATGAAATAAAATTCTCCCACAGTTAAGAAAAGTTAAAAGAATTTGCCTCTTCTATCCCTGCCCTACAAATGACACTTTAGAATGTTCTCTCGACAGAGAAGAGGAATAGCACCAAACAAAACCAAAGGCAAATGTAAAGAACATCCCAGTAAAATGACAACAGGAGACTAAATCAATGAACAAAACCCATTTCTAAAATGACAGGACCAAAGTACCACCCATACATATTAACCTTGAATGTAAATGGCTTAAGATCAATCAAACATCATAGATGAGTAGACTGGATTAAAAAAACAAAACCCATCTATTTGTTGTGTAGAAGAGACACATTTCACCAACAAAAATCAGCAGAAACTATATCACATGGGTTTTGATGTTTCTTGTTAGTTTCATCTTTTTTTTTTGCTTTAAATATTTATTTTTATTACAAAATCAGATATACAGAGAGGAGGAGAGAGAAACATCTTCCATCCAATGATTCACTCCCCAAGTAAGCGCAAAGGCTGGTGCTGTGCCGATCCGAAGCCAGGAGCCAGGAACTTCCTCCAGCTCTCGCTCACACATGCAGGGTCCCAAGGCTTTGGGCCATCCTCGACTGCCTTCCCAGGCCACAAGCAGGGAGCTGGATGGGAAGTGGAGCTGCTGGGATTAGAACCGGCGCCCATGTGGGATCCTGGCGCGTTCAAGGCAAGACTGTAGCTGCTAGGCCACGCCGCCGGGCCCTAGTTTCATCTCTTCAAAACACTTTCTTCTGATTAAATTCTTCAGTGACTCTTAGATCATACAGTAGCATCATTTTCTGCAAGAAGGTTCTTGATTTTCATTTATTCAGCTACACGTTAGTCATTTAGTAGCATGTTATTTAACTTCGTGGTGTTGTTAATTTCTTTTTTCTTCCTGATGTTGATTTTGCTTTGTGGCTTCTCATTTAAGGGGATATATAGTAGCTGTGTAATGGAGACTGTCATATGTAGTAACATGTTATTTAACTTCATGGCATTGCAAATTTCTATTTTTCTTTCTATTGTTGATTTTGTATTATGATTTTCATTTGAGGGGATGTACAGTAGCTGTGAAATGGAGACTAACATCCAGATGTGATGATACAATGTAGTACACATTTCTACTTCCAGACAAGGATGGACTTACAATGAAACTGTTTACTATATCTTGACAGTAGGATGCTGGACTCTCTGCCATTGTCCATGCCTGCAATGATGGACATATGACTGTATATAAAGAACTACACTTTAGTAATGATATAGAGGAACTAGGTGGTGGTGAGACACGGGAAATTGGGGCTGGGATAAGGGAAATACCAGGAGCCTATGGAACTGTATCATAAAATGATAACAATGAGCCCAGCGGCGTGGCCTAGCAGCTAAAGTCTCGCCTTGAACGCGCCAGGATCCCATATGGGTGCCAGTTCTAATCCCAGCAGCTCCACTTCCCATCCAGCTCCCTGCTTGTGGCCTGGGAAGGCAGTCGAGGATGGCCCAAAGCCTTGGGACCCTGCATGTGTGAGCGAGAGCTGGAGGAAGTTCCTGGCTCCTGGCTTCGGATCGGCATAGCACCAGCCTTTGCGCTTACTTGGGAAGTGAATCATCGGATGGAAGATCTTCCTCTCTATCTTTCCTCCTCTCTGTATATCTGATTTTGTAATAAAAATAAATAAATATTTAAAGCAAATGATAATAATAAAATATAAAATGTAGAAATTTTTAAAATTCAAAAAAATAAAGAAGCCAAAGCAAACAAAACAAAATGAAATCTTCCATCCACTGGTTCATTTTCCAAATGCCTGCAGCGGTCAGGGCAGGGCCAGCTGAAAGCAAGATCCGGGAGTTTCATCAGGGCTCTCACATAGATGCAGGGGTTCAACTAGGCCATCTGCTGCTACTTTCCCAAGCGCATTATCAGGAAGCTGCTTTGAAAGTGAAGCAGCCTTCATGCTTGGAGCCCCGATTCCAGTCACCACGTGCATGGGGTGACCTGTCCCTGCGTGTGCCCAAACTCCAGAGGCTGCTCCCTTCATGGTGAGTACACCAGAAGGGGGAAGTCTGGAGAGTTGGGCCAGCCCCGACAACACCTGCCATCATCATTGCACAGTGGATGGGATTGGGGAGGGAGCAAACTTGGGGGTTGAGGATTAAAAATTCCAGCATTCGGTTGGCTGCTGCTGGGTGCCAGGCTTGGATCATCTTCATGCTTGGAGCCCCAATTCCAGTCACTGTGTACACAGTGAGCTGTCCTGAGCTCAGCCTGCTGGCTACCTGGTGGCCAGCACTGGGATATTGGTTCTTTGAATTGCTGCTTAGGTAGCTTAGGTAGCTCCATGTTAAGCCCACTGTGTGTGCTTCTGGGATGTCAAACTCCCAATGACAGAGTAACTTTGCCTTTCAAGGTAAGCGAGGGTAATGAGACCTGGTAGGTTTGAGGAGAGGGACCAGATAATCTTTATAGAAAAGTCTGATATACCAACCTCCTATGAATCCTGCGTAGAATTTGTAATCACTGAACAAAGTTGAGCACCGGACACCAGTCCATGCAAAAGCTAAGGCTCATGGCTTGTCTAGCAGGACCATATCCTATTACCTGACATGATGATGAATCAGGAGACAGGTCACATTAGACAGGGCTATGACATTAACTAGCACAGCAGAGAACCACATCCGGGGGTAGATTCTGTGGGAGATGTGTGGGCCAAACCCCATGGAAATACTAGCCCCGCTGGTTAGCTCTAGAGTTGGGGTGGTCACGGACTAAGTTGGTGTGACCAAGGAGCCTGCCATCACTCACAGGTAAAGGAACCCACAACAGTCTGGACTGGTCAAGCAGCAGCACCTGAATGTGCATCCTAAATAGGGCGTGGGGTGGCCTGGGCTGCAACGTTCACCAGCTCATACAAGGCCAATTGGAAGGCCAGACTATGCCTGACACTGGCCTGAAATCCACTGGCATGTATGAGAACTGGATCAGGGAGTGGGTTAAGCGGAGGAACTTGGGAAACTCCCTTGGCAGGTCATAGCTCCCGCTGGTGAACACATGGTCCAGACCTGGGGGTTGGACAAGCTGGGAAAAGTAGCTCTAATGACTGGCTAATGTGTGGATTGGTAATGGAACAGGGTGGACTGGGCAGGACTGAGCAAATCTTAGCCCACAACAAAATTAGAAATCAGGATGGAGCACAGGTCATGCCAAGCTAGGCTGTTGCACCTACTGGTCTGTGTGAGCCGGGAACGCTAAGCCACAGTGTGTAAGGTTAGGGCCGGGACAGGTGAGGGGTTGTGCCAAGCTGAGTCACAACAACCACTGGCATGCAAGTGATCTATGGCTAGGAACAGGTCTGGCTGGGGAGCTAAGGGGACACCCTAGCTGGGTTGAGATTCCCACTGAGGAGCGCATGGGCTGGAATTGGGGCTGCATTCTGATCTGGATATGTTTCCATTGGCACAAGTGTGGACTGGGACTGGAGGCACCAAGCCAGGCTAGACTCCAACACCATCTGGTGCTCTGGAGAACCAGGGATGGACTAGGCTAGGTCTCAGCCCCTACTGAGCCATGTGTGAGCTGTATGTGGGTATGGACGAGCCGTGGCTGGGCTGAAACGTGCAACAGCAAGATCCGGTTTGGGTAGAAGGCCAGTCAGGAAAAGCCACTGTTCCTGCTAGCACAGGAGGTAAACTGAGTAGGGCTGGCTCATGGACCCACTGGTATGCGCAAAATATGGTATTGGGAGGGGTTCTAATGGAGGAGCCTGAATAACTCCTCTGGCAGGACACAGACCCTGCAGGTAAGCGCGAGAAGCATGAAAGGAAACAGCCCAGAACAGTCTATGGAAAGGTACCCACTGGCATACATTTGGCATGGGTTGGGGACAGACCAGGTTGAACCAGTTCATATCATCTGCTGGTGAATCTGAACACCAGAGCAGAGTGTGGGTCGAGCCAGATTTGGTCATGACAAAAACCAGTGCACATTACGGAATGCCAAGGTGAGGTGACCAGTACTGGATGCGGCCACAGCACCCAAGCAGCACACGTGAGAACCAGGAAGGGAGGGGGAGGAGCCAGCAGGGGGAATATGGAGGTGGGGTTCCCTTGCTGGACAGCCACTCCCACTGGAGAGCATGGATTGGGAAGGAGGCAGACCAGGCCAGGCAGAGCTACAACACTGTGGGCCTCATGTGAACTAGATCAGGGAAAAGCCAGGCTGGGCTGATTGTTCCAACTGGCGCAAGCAAAAATTAGATTGGGTGAGAGTTGATTGGGCTTAGCTGCAGCATCAGCTGGCAGAAGCTGGCACTGTAGGCTAAATCTGTCAAGTTTAATTCCAGAACCACCTGGAGAGTGCATAATCTGGGAGTGGGAGTGGCCTAGAATAGTGGGCTCCTCCCTCTTGGGTTACCACTCCCACCGAAGAGCAGGAAAACCAGGACAGGGGCTGGGGTGGCTAAACAGAAAGGCAACCAGCTGCAAGACTGGCAGCAATTCAGAACTGTAAAGCTCCATGGAGATTACCTACAAGCTCTTTGCTTTCTGCTGCCTCTCTGTGCTGCCACTGGCTGACCTGACCATTTGCTGTAGCCACATCATCCTTAATGTATGCAGTCCCTGGACAAGAGGGGAACCACGGTGTGACTCCAATTCTCAAGGCTTATTCCTGACCCCAAGAATCACGCCCTCTAAACACCTAATAGCTATCTATTCACTAAACCAAAGTGATACCCTAACCATATCCCTATCACCTGATGTAGGACATACTGAATGCTTTCATTCTTAATAGCTTTGCTAAGCTGAATGAGCAAGGTGTGGATTGGGAAGAAAGGGTAATTAGTCTCCTTTTTTCTTAAAGTACACCTGGTGGTTTCACTTTTCACAGCATCACAATCTTTACCTTTTCTACCCAGTGGAAAGGGGTTCTTCCACTCACAGGTTGGCAGCACTCTCCTCCTGGTAGGGAAGAACTCTACATCAGTTCATACTACATTCAGTTCAGAAGTTGACTCGTCATGCACTTGAGTATTTTCTAAATTCTCAACCCCTGCCAATGAATTTGTCTTCTGCCACTCCTCAGATAACTGCCCCCATGTTTGTCTTTGGGCTCTGCAACCGGCCCTGCTTATCTTACTGATTTTCATCCTCTACTGTACAACTTACTACCTACTGGGTCTGAGGTGCCGGTTCCCCCATCCATAAGTGAAATCTTCACCTAAGCTGCATCCTTTTCCTCTTTGGCCTCCTGAATGCGTCCTGGATCCTCTTCTCCATGGGGCCTTCATTCTTGTCTGTCAGAGGGCACCAAGAACTTGACACAAACTCCTCCAGGGAAGCAAGGTCTGGAAGAATGCCCCAACAGGAGATTCAAGCCCTCAAGACAGCTGGAAGTACACACACACAGTATCAGGAACAAAAAAAAAAAAAAAAGAAGCAAGAGACAGTCCTATAACACCCATTTGCTGATGACACAGCACACAGAATAATTATTCCCTAGAATCCTAAGAACATCTCATCTCTACCCCTGCTCTAGCTCCTAAAGAACAAAGGAACAGACAATGTCAAGCCACTCTGAGCCTGAAGACTATGTCCACTCCAGAAAATTCAGTACTAGGAGAAGCACCCTCACAACCACTGTGTCACCTTTCCATAAACAGTGTCTCAAGACTTTCAACGTTAGAACAGTAAAAGTAACTTTACATGTAGAAAACAAAAGCAAAAACAAATTTATTCATAACTCAAACACTAACTGATAGGGTAAGACATTAAATACAAAGAGTGAGATCCAACTAGGTCCTATTTAACCGAGGCTGAACGGCCAAATGGAACCTTGCAGACACCAGCTGCGTCTTCAGCCCGACCTTTCAGCGTCGCCTCCGATCTGGACTCCTGCTGCGTCTTCGGCCACCTCTGGGGTAAAAAAGATAAATTCATCAGAAGGAGAGACCAGAGTATGACCTTGTTCTGCTGTGCTCATATTTCCTCCACCAAGGTTCCCTCTCTACTTTACCTCCTCTTGCCCTTGGGTGGACCTCGCACAAAACACCAGTCCACACTGATTGGCTGTCCCATCAGATCCTGGCCATTGAGTCCCTCCATTGCAGCCTGGGCCTCCTTGTACGTTTCATACTCAACTAGAGTATACCCCTAAGGCAAGAGAAAAGACAGGTATTAACAATACTCTTACTTCACTAAGCCAAATCAAGCATCTTGTTCCACAAATCTAAACTCACACCTGAGGGTAAATTTTAGACAGTGAATGCATACCATGTAGCCTTTCCGTATGACATATTGTTTCTTTCTCTTTGCTGTGTCTAACAAAATCAATTCCTAGTATCGTTTTATTTCAACTTTGCTCTCTGCCAACCACAATCAAATACGGGAGAACTACCAATGATGCTTAAGGGATATACAGCAAGAGGAGTGTCAATCAGGATACCTTTAAGTATCCTGTACGTCTGTCCAGGTTGAGGTGGATATTTTTTATTTCCCCATATTCTGCGAATTTGTCATGAATGTCTTCCTCAGTGGCCTCCTCATGGACTCCAGTAACAAAGAGAATCCAACCTTCAACAGCTGTTGAGGAAGTGGGGAGAAAGTCGGGTAAGCACAAGAAAGACCGTGAGCTGCAGACAGGCTCCAGGGATGTGGTTAAGCTACCTCGAGGATCCTGCTCCCCGGTGCTGGACTGCGTTGCTCTAAACACAGATCTTCCCATTTACTCACAGCGTTGTGGTCCGGGTTCGTCCCCATCTTGCTCCACACTGTCATAATCCTCTCGCATCCGTGCCCGTGACCCCTCTTCTGTAACAGACACACAAGAGATCACCGAACTCTGCCCTCTTTCCTCCACTGTTCCCCACGAGTCAAGGAGACTCTTCAAACCTCCAATTCTCGTTCTTTCCCTTCTTCACTCACTCACCTGAGCCAAAGCCGCGGCCCTTCCGCTTCTTCGCTTTTTCTTTCAGTTTGTGGATGCTCTCTGGAGTACCCCAAAGGAAAACAATCGGCAACAAAAACAAGCATCATTGGTGACTGTCTTTCCGCCCCCTCCCCACAGCCGCAGGCCGAGGTCGCCACCCCCGGTCGTCAGTCCCTTCCCGGTACCGCCCCATTCCTCCCAGAGGGGGTGGAGTCTCCAGCCCAGCCGAGACCCGGCTCCCGGCGGCGTTCCTCCCAGCCGGGAGAACCTCCAGACGCACACGCTACCGCACCTTCCCCGCTTCCCGTAGCCGCCTGTCCTCACCGTCCCCATCCTCATCCATGGCGAAATCTTCGCCCCCGGCCTCGTGAAGATCCAGGACGTCCGCCATGTTGCCGCCCAGCACTCGACTGTGCCGCTCACTTGGGCACCTCGGGAAATTGTCGCGCAGGGGAAAGGGCTTTCCGCCCAGCCGACCAATCAAAGGCTAAGTCTACGCCCCGCCCTCGGCGCTCTGAAAATACGACACCGGAGGCGGGCTTAGTTCGGACAGAAGCCGGAAGCGGCTCCTGCAGCCATCTTGAGCTGTTTGCCGGTTGGAAGCTTCACGTCGGGCGGGAAGCGAAGGTTACAACATTGCTACGCGTTACGGTAGCTAACGAAAAATACCAACCGCGAAGGCCGGCCTAATTGATTCTTTTTAAAAAGATGTATTTATTTTTATTGAAAAGTCAGATATAGAAAGGAGAAAAGACAGCAAGATCTTCATCAGTTGATTCACTCCCTTAGTGACCGCAGCGGCCGGAGCTGAGCCGACAAGAAGCGAGGAGCCAGCAGCCTCCTCTGGGTCTCCCACGTGGGTGCAGGAGTCCAAGGTCTTGAGCCGTCCTCAACTGCTTTCCCAGGCCACAGGCAGGGAGCTGGGTGAGAAGCAGGGCTGCCGGGATTAAAACCAGCGCGCCCATATGGGATCCTAGTGCTTGTAAGGCGAGAACTTTAGCCACCAGGCTAGCACGCCGGGCCGGGACTGATTTATTCTTTAAAGGGTTGCTTTAGCCACTTTAAATCCCAATTATGATTTGGGAATTTATTTTTTTTTTTCCTCTCGAAACTTTTAAAGCCTGTTACCTGTTACTACTCGATGTAGATCAACGGAAACGCGATTTTTTGCTTTGGCTTTTGAATTATTTCAGTGAATACTGCCGGCGGCAGCAGGTGCTTCTGGAACATACTGCATAACCGATTGCTCGTTCAGCGGAGTGAATACAGCTGATTGCCACATAGCAACCGAAATACATCTCCCTGCCTTCTGTGGGAATTAAGTGATCTTCAACAAAATAGGGGTTCTTAACTTCTTTGAAGAAGGCACGGTGTTTGACGTTTAAAAGCCTAGGATGGGGCAGTGCTCTGGCGAAATGAGTTAAGTCACTGCTCTGGCGCTGGGGGTTCATATTGGAACACTGGGTTCCGTGGTTCGGGGTCTGGCTGCTGCATTTCTGATCCAGCTCCTTTCTAAAGGGATGGTCCTGGAGAATCAGCATATGATGAGCTAAGGATTCGGTTCTGAGCCCGAATGGAATTCCAGGCTTCTAGTTTCAGCCTGGTCTAACTCAAGCCATTGAAGCTATTTGGGGAATGAGTGAATGGGAGGATGGAAACTATATCCCTTTTTGTCTCTGCCTTTCAAATATGTCTTTTGAAAATAGATACATTTGTAATGCAGTGTGTTAATTCTGTTAAGCTGTTCGGAGTCCTGGCAATTCTTCCTATCCAGCTCCTTGCTAATACACCTGGGAAAGCAGCAGAAGATGGCTCAAGAATCCTCATGTAAGCCTTCAGCTTACTTGTTAATTCACTTGTTGATTCACTCAGTTGTTAATCAGCCATGAATATCTAAATGTGTATAGAGGTAACACTGTGAATATAGGGACAAATAAATGCACTATCAACTTTCATTACAGCACAGTATGAAAATGGTAATTTTTTGAAAAAATTATTTTTATTTCAAAGTCAGATATACAAAGAGGAAGATCTTCTGTCTGATGATTCACTTCCCCAAGTGATTGCGACAGCCGAAGCTAAGCTGATCCAAAGCCAGAAGCCAGGAACTTCTTCCTGGTCTCCCAAGACTGTACAGGTTCCCAAGGCTTTGCGCTGTCCTCAACTGCTTTCCCAGGCCACAAGCAGGGAGCTGGATGGGAAGCAGGGCTGGGATCAGAACTGCTACTCACATGGGATCCTGGCATGTTCAAGGCAAGGACTTTAGCAGCTAGGTCATCACGCTGGGGCCAGAAGTGGTAATTGTTGTCCTAAAGTCCCACAATAAAGTTTGCAGGACTGAGAGGGCTTGACATTTGAACTGAGTGTCTCCAAGGATGAGTAGTTTTCCAATTGAAGCTACTGTATTGAAACTAGGACACACCTATTCTCTCTTCTCAGTAGATAATGTGATATTTTAAAAAATCAGCTGGCCATTAAGCTTAAGAAATATGTAAAATTCTCTTTATGTTAATAAGCAGGTCTTCCATGTGGGTGCAAGGTCCCAAGAACTTGAGTTGGGCCTGGCGCGGTAGCCTAGCGGCTGAAGTCCTTGGAGGAGGACCCAAAGCTTTAGGACCCTGCACCTGTGTAGGAGACCTGGAAGAGGCTTCTAGCTCCTGGCATTAGATCAGCTCAGCTCTGTCCCTTGAGGCCGCTTGGGGAGTGAGTCTGTGGATGGAAAGTCTTCCTATCTGTTTCTCCTCTCTGTAAATCTGACTTTCCAATAATAATAGTAAATCTTTAAAAAAAAATCAGTTGCTCACATCCTTACTTAAAAGCTTTTCTGCATAGTAAGCTAAGCTCCTGCCTTCAGCATCAACATCCCATATGGGCGATGGTTAGAGTCTGGTCTGCTCCACTTCAGTAGTCCAGCACTATGCTAATGGCCTGGTAAGGCAGCAGAGGATGGCTCAAATCCTGGGATTCCTGCACCCATGCTGGATGGGGGCGGGGAGAGGGCGGTTCCTGGCTTGTGGTTTCAGATCAGCTCAGCTCTGGCCATTTGGGGAGTGAACCAGCCGATGGAGGGCTCTCTGTGCCTCCCCTTCTCTCTATAACTGTCTTTCATGAGTCAAGGTGCGCCATCTATGAGTCAAGGTGGATTTTGGAATTTATAGAAAGTAATTTGTCTATTTAAATATGATTTTGAACATTTGCAAACAGACCCCGCATTATTTTTACTTAGTATTTTTCCTTAAATAAACTGCTTGAAAAGTAAATATAGTGGCAGGTGATTGACACTGTTAAGAAGCTGCTGGGCAGGGTGGGGGTGGGGAGTGTGGTGCATTGGCTCAATTGGCTAATCCTCCCCCTTTAAGTACTGAGATCCCATACAGGCACTGGTTGTGTCCTGGCTGCTCCAGTTCCCATCCAGCTTCCTGCTTGTGGCTTGGGAAAGGAGTAAAGGATGGCCTAAAGTCTTGGGACCCTGTAACTTTGTGAGAGATCTGGAAAAAGCTCCTGGCTCCAGCCTTTGTGGTCACTTGGGAAGTGAACCAGTGAATGGAAGATCTTTCTGTCTTTTCTCTCCTTTCTGGTATAAATAGATAAATAAAATAGTGGCTCTGATCCTAGATGTAGATGTAAGTAGAAGCCACCTCCCAACACAGATCCAAAATGTCTCTGAAATTAAAAAAAAAAAAAAAACTGGTTGGGATAGCTACATCCCATATCAGCATGTGCCCTAAGGCCCAGCTCCTCCTCTTCCAATCAAAAACCACAGAGACAGCAGATAATGGCTCAACCATTTTGGTCCTGTCTCCCAGAATGAATTCTAGGCTCCTGGCTTCAAAATGACTCAACCCTGGCTGTTACAGGCATTTTTGCGCTATAAAAGTATTTGTCTCTCTGCCCTTCAAGTAAAATAAAAATAATGTACAAAAATAAACTGAAAAATGAGGATTATTCTACCAAGATAAAAATTTAAGTATTAAAAATAAAAAATATTTTGGCCAGGGGCCTGGTGTGATAGGCTAGTGGGCTAATTTTTGCCTTATATTCACTGGGATCCCAAGTGTATGCTGGTTCATGTCCTGGCTGCTCCAGTTCCCATCCAGCTCCCTGCTTGTGGCCTGGGAAAACAATAGAGAATGGCCCAAAGCCTTGGGACCCTGCACCTGCTTGGGAGACCAGAAGAAGCTGCTGGCTTCTGGCTTTGGATTAGCTCATCACCAGCCACTGCAGCCACTTAGGAATGAACCATTGGATGGAAGATCTTCCTCTCTATCTCTCCTTCTCTCTGTATATCTGGCTTTCCAATAAAAGTAAATCTTAAAAAATATATATATTGGGGCCAGCATTGTGGAGTGGTTGGTCAAACTACTACTTCCTACATTGACATTCCATGTTAGAGTACTGGTTTGAGTCTCAGCGCGTTTGCTGCCAATCTAGCTTCTTGCTAATGCAGGACAAAGCCTGAGTCCTTGGGTTGTTGGAGACCAGGATGGAGTTCCTGGCCCCTGGCTTCAGCCCCTGACCCAACTCTAGCTGTTGCAGGAATTTGAGGTTTAAGTGGACATATGGAAGATCACTCTGGCTTTCCCTTTCACTCTACTTTTCAAAAAAATATATATTAAAAGAAACCAATATATTTGCCCATCAACACCTAAAATCATCTCAGGTAACACCATATGAAACTCTGGGGTGGGGTCAGCACTGTGGCAAAGCAAGCTGATACCCCATCTTAGGAAATTGGTTTGCAACCTAGCTCATCTCTCCCAATCCAACTCCCTGCTAGTGTCCCTAGGAAAGCAGCAGAGTATGACCCAAATACCCGTGCCCCTGCCACCCACATGGGAGCCTGAATGGAGTTTTAGGCTCCTAGTTTTGTCCTAGACCAGCCCCAGCCAATGCGACCATTTTGGGAATAAACTACAGCTGGAAAATTGGTTGAACATTCTCTTTCCCTCACTCATTCTTCCCTTCAAATAAATCAATCTTTGGGGGCCAGTGCTGCTTAACCCACTTTATACCACAGCACCAGTAGTGTATATGGCTACCAGTTCAAGTCCCAGTTGCTCCATTTCTGATCCAGCTCCATGTTGATGGACTGGAAAAGCAGCGAATTATGCCCCAAGTACTTAGGCCCCTTAACTCATGTGGGAGATAATGGAAGAAATTCTGGGCTTCTGACTTTGGCCTGGCCCAGCCCTGCTATTGCAGCCATTTGAGGGAGTGAACCAGTGGACGGAACAGCTCTCTCATTGCCTCTGTCTCTCCCTCTCTGTAACTCTTTTTTTTTTTTTCCAATAAATCTTAAATAAATAGACAAATATTTGAAAAAATAAACTGGAAAATTCTGCTAAGGTAAAGACAGTTGAGTGATGGTTTAAGCAAAAAAAAAAAATCATAAATATTACAAAAGGAATATGACAGCAGCGTGGGTGTGAAGGATGAAGCTATTGCAGTAGTCTAGTCTAGAGGTCAGAAACAAACTATTGCAGTAAACCTGGACAGAACAGATTAAGGAGTTTACTTAGGAGGTAGACTCTCCAGTAAGTCATTGCCTGATGATAAAGAAAAACTGGAGATGGATTTGAGATTTCTGGCTCAGATAACTGTAAGAATAATTCTTTAGCTAACCTAGGGAGTCAGAGAAACATGAATAGAGAAATGAGTTTCATTTTGTACACATCACTCATAGTATTTCTGTCATGTTCAGTGGTGATGGCCAGTATGTGGCAGTATAGGTGTAATGGCTCAAAACAGGTTGAAATGAAAAAATTAATGTGGGAATGACTTGTGTAGTGGAATTTAAGCCACTCTAATTAGCAAGATAGTCAACGGAATGGGTACATTTTAGGAGAAAGGATCAGGGACAAAATCCAGTCTCCTTAAATGTTTGGATAGGAGGAAAAGCAGGTTGATATCCCCTAGCAAGTTGCCAGGATTGTCATATTTCCACAACTTTAAAAATACTAACAATTGTTTTTTAGTGCAGATATGAAAGTATGGAGCCTCTGTTACAGATCTCAAGAAAGACTCAATCTGGCTCACTAAACCAAAATCTATCTTTAATTTTATAAAATTATACATATAAAATACATAGAAAGTACTATAAAGAGTAAAATCTTTGACAGGAACAGTGACCATATCAGAGAACATTTTTTTTTCTCAGTTCTTTGATAAAAGCATAGACATTTGGTGTAAATATTTATTGCTTACTGGTTGGTACATGAGAGAGAAAACAAATCCAGAAGATGTGATAACAGTTCTTCCCACAGCTCATCCCCTTAACACGTTTTCCCAAAAAAAGTGGCATAGGAGAATGCAGTGTTTCTCATTTCTGGATTATTAACATCAACACCTATTATTCAATGAAGGGATCTCTACTCCGACCCTAAATGTGTTTCATGGAATACGAAGATGGGACTAAGAATACTTCCAGGAAGCCCGTTTGAGCATTAATACAATTGTCTGGTTTCCTAATCTCTAACCCTATACTGTGAAGATGACTTCACAGCAAGAGAGTGGCCTTTCAATATTGCCTCTACATAATACAAGAGTAAACTGGCCTGCTTCCTACTCTATTTCCAAAGCAAAGCCTGTATAACCATGAAATGGAAGTCCAAATACAGGAGCAGTAAACATCACAAGTTCAGTTTAGGGAATGTGCAGAGCAACAATGTACTATACAGGAAATCACAGAGACAAGGGCAAAAAGCATATCTTAGACTTCCAAAAATAGCCACCAGCCAGATTGCTCCTGTCTTTCTTCACCCAGGAGAATGGTACTGAAACCACAAGCAGTTGGTCATTGATTTCTTCTTTCCTTCAGTCTCCCACAGCTCCAGTCAGTTAAAAGTACTGCAATTCTAAAGTCTCATTGGTTTTCCTCATCAATTCATTCTCTAATGATCAATGCAATCAATGTGGAGGAAGAAGAAAAGAGAAAAAATAAACATCAAAACTGTATGCACCTGTGACGGTAAGCAGTAGCAACTGAGGGAATGTGTCAAACTTGGCTCTCATTCACCAAATCAGGCAGGCAGTGCCTCCAGAGGGCAACATGTTGGGAGTTTTGCTCTCCCAAATCTCTCTGGGTGGGAAGGTCTAAATACAAGGCTCTGCTAAGTTGAGTGAGCAAGGAAGAAGTGAAAATGAAATATTGAAAGATAGTCATTTTCAACTTTGACCTCATAGAGTATATCCAGAAATCTGGAGTACTGGTGTAGTAAAGATATGTCCCAGAAGCGCTAAGCAGTAAACGTCCATGGATTGTTTATAATTCTTTTCGTGTTCCTGGACAGTTTCTCAGGAGTGATCTGAAAATAAGAAACCAGATCTCTGCTTTCTTCCTAACAAGGTAAGGAAGTCACAAAGCCGCGTTCGGAGGCAGACAAGAAGTAAGAGGGCGGTGGAGAGGGCAGGAGTGTGTAGCAGGTGCAGCTCGAGATAAACCAAAGTTAAAGGCTTCATGTTCATTTGAATCCAAAAGAAAAGAGGAATGAGGGGAGGGTGGAGCACACATCCAGGCTACCTGTTACTTTGAAAGGAGACAGGAACAAAGTCAATCATTGTGCTATTGAAATGATGACACAGAGTTAACCTGAAGAGCCAAGAAAGCTCCAAAGACAGGCTGCTCTTTCCGATGGAAAAGGAGAGGAAATGTTTCAAATGAAACTATATGCAAAGATGGGAAGTTAAAAAAAGGGGAAGCTCTCAGCAAATAGGAGTCCAGGTGTAGGATTTATACATATACATATATATAATCTATATTTTAAAGTATAAAATTGAGAAAGTATATACAGAAATTGTTCTATGTCTTAGAGACATTAAAAAACAGGGAGTGGCCTTGGAGAGACTGGGGCGTAGGTGGTGGCAGGCCTAACAGTTGGAAGAATGCATATTCCCCAACTGTCCAGCTGCCAGCATGAGGATATCTTTCTTTTCCTTGTGAAAGCGTAGCTCTTTGCCTGCCAGTCGGGCTTCATCCAGCTCCCGCTCAGTGGAGGCCAGCTCTCGGGACAGTGCCCCCGGCACACTCTGCTCTCGGCTCACCCAGTCCAAGGCCATCTGGTGGCGAATATCATCATCGAGGGCCCGGTGCGAATAATGAGCCAATACCTCCTGGTCAGAGAAGGAATGTGAAGATTATGGAGAAAGTGAAAATTTGTGTGATCCCACATTGACCCAAATGGGATTAGGAACTCATGGCTTTGGAGTCATAACTAAAATCAGCACCATAATTTCCCAAGGAAATCTTCCTGGTGGGGGAGATAGGGCAGGCAAACAAATCACAGTCAATACTTAAATAGGAGAGATTGTAGGCGTGAAGAGCGCCTATAAGTAAAGACTTCTATATTCACAGCCTGATAATCATATACCTACTTACATCTATCATAGTAGCCACCACAAAATAGCCCTCCTGTACGACCCTCTTACCTGCCGGGAGCACTGTCTCTCTCTCATGGCCTTGAGGCTGCCGTTCCAGTGCAGCAGCTGAAAGACTGTCATCAGCTCCTGGGGGAGGAAGACATGAAGGACCAAGGCAGTGATTTTTCTATTGGTAAGCTGCATCAGAATTATATGGGGACCCTTTTACAAAATGTATTTCTGGAAGCATCTGTCACCCACAGCTCTGACATACCCTTGGGAGAAGAAAGGTATATTTTGAATAAATATCCTAGCAGGTTAGGAATGAATAGGCATAAGGCATATATACCATAAATATATTAATAGGAGGCATTATATATAATAAATTATGTATATATATCTGATATATAATATATATATCAATCAGGTAAATAAGTGAAACAGTACCTGGAACTCTAACATTGACTTGCCCTTGTTGGATTCCAGCATGAATCGGAAGGCACCGATCCCTGTATTTGGATTGTCAGCTTCTTCCCTGTTTCCCTGGTAACAGAAGGGAATCAAGATTTTCATCTCCAGCAGCACTGTTCAACAGAAATATAAGCTACATATTTAATTTTAAACCTTTTAGTCACCAAACTAATAAAAGGCAAGCAGATAAAATTAATTTCAATAATACACTTTAGTAATTCAATACATTCAAAATAGTACTTATCAACTGTAATCATATAAGCAACAGTGAAATAGATTTTTAAAAATTTATCTTAGCTATTTTAAAGGCAGAAATACAGAGAGAGGAGAGGCAGAAAGAGAGATCTTCCAAATGCTGATTCATTTCCCAGAAGGCTGCAACGGCTCGGTCTAGGTCAGGCTGAAGCCAGGAGCCAGGAGAGTGTCTGGGTCTCCCACATGAGTGGTGTCCAAGGACTTGGGCCATCTGCTGCTCTTCCCAGACCATTAGTAGTGGACTGAACTGGGAGTACAGCTGTCAGGCCATGAACTGGCTCTAACAGTGATGTTGCCATCAAAGCCTGTGACTTTACCTGTCACTCAGCAATGCCAGCCCCCCAAAAGCAATTCAGTTTATACCAGCCACATTTAAGTGCTTAATGGACACACCTGTCTAGTGTCTATTTTTTTTCTCTCTTTTAAAGATTTATTTATTTTTATTGGAAGAGAGATTTAAAGAGAAGATCTTTCATGCACTGGTTCACTCCCCAAAACAGAGCTGAACCAATCTGAAGCCAGCAGCCAGGACCTTCTTCCAGGACTCCACACAGGTGTAGAGTTCCAAGGCTTTGGCTATCTTTCACTGCTTTCCCACAAGCAGGAAGCTGGATGGAAATAGAACAGCTAGAACACCAACTGGTACCTATATAGGATCCCAGCGCTAGAAAGTGGAGGATTTAGCCAGTTGAGCCACTTCACCATGCCCGTGTCTATTTTCATAGCAAAAATCCAAAGGAGCCCAAGGTAATCACATATTTTTTTATTTGTTTTTATTGGAAAGTCAGATGTATAGAGAGGAGAGACAGAGTGGAAGATCTTCCATCCGTTGATTCACTCCCCAAGTGCTACACTGGCCAGAACTGTGCTGATCGGAAGCCAAGAGCCAGAGGCCTTTTCGGGTCTCCCACATGGGTGCAGGGTCCCAGGATTTGGGCTGTCCTTGATTGCTTTCCCAGGCCATAAGCAGGGAATTGGATGGGAAGTGGAGCTGCCGAGATTTGAACTGGCACCCATATGGAAGGTGTGTGCAAGGTGAGGACTTTATCTGCTAAGCCATGGTGCTGGCCCCACATATATATATTTTCAAGGTTTATTTCGTGAGCCTGGCACCATGGCCTAGAGGCTAAAGTCCTCGCCTTGAACACACCGGGATCCCATATGGGTGCCAGTTCTAATCCGGCAGCTCCACTTCCCATCCAGCTCCCTGCTTGTGACCTGGGAAAGCAGTCGAGGATAGGGGTCCTTGGGATCCTGCACCCATGTGGGAGACCTGGAGGAGGTTTCTGGCTCCTGTCTTCAGATCAGCACAGCGCCAGCCATTGCGGCCACTTAGGGAGTAAATCATGGATGGAAGATCTTCCCCTCTGTCCCTCCTCCTCTCTGGACAGCTGCTTTTCCAATAAAAAAAAAAGAGATTGATTTCTTTATATTGAAAAGTCATATTATTATTATTATTATTATTTACAGAGAGAAGGAGAGACAGAAAAAAAGATCTTTAATCTGATGGTTCACTCCCCAAGTGGCTGCAGTGGCTGGAGTGGAGCTAATCTGAAGCCAGGAGCCAGGAACCTCTTCTGGGTCTTTTTTCTGGGTGCAGGATCCCAAGGCTTTGTGCCATCCTCGACTGCCTTCCCAGGCCACAAGCAGGGAGCTGGATGGGAAGTGGGGCAGCTGAGATGTGAACCAGCGCCCATCTGTGATCCTGGCGCATGTAAGATGGAACTTAAGCCACTAGCCTACTGTGCTGGGACCAGTAATCACGCATTTTTTAAAATTCTTTTTTGTTAGGGCTTGCATTGTGACGCAGCAAGTTAAGCCACCATTTGCAACAATGAATCCCATATTGGAGTGCTAGTTTGAGTATATGCTATTTCATTTTCAATCTAGCTCCCTGGTAATACATTTGGGAAAGCAGCAGATGATGGATGGCTCAGGTTCTTAGGCCTCCGCCACCCACAGGAGACCCAGGTGAAGCTCTTGGCTTCTGGCTTTGTCCTAGTCTTCAGATTAGGAAGAGTAAACTAGCTGATGGTCTCTCTTCTCTGTTGCTCTGCCTTTTAAATAAATAAATAGATTTTTTTTAAGATTTTTTTTTTTTCTTTATTGGAACGGCGGATACACAGACAAGAGAGACAGAGAGGAAGATCTTCTGTCCAATGATTTACTCCCCAAGCGGCCGCAACGGCTCTAGCTGAGCCAATCCGAAGCCAGGAGCCAGGAGCTCTTCCAGGTCTCCCACGTGGGTGCAGGGTTCCAAGGCTTTGGCCCATCCTTGACTGCCTTTCCAGGTCACAAGCAGGGAGCTGGATGGGAAGCAGGGCTGCTGGGACTCGAACTGGGATCCCAGCGTGTGCAAGGCGAGGACTTTAACCACTACACTATTGTACCGGGCCCTAGACTTTAAAAAAAAAAAACACAATATGATATAGAAGTTAAGAGTGTGGACTGCATCTACTACTAGTCATAATGAGATTAATCATAGGCTCATATTATGGGATTGTTTTGAGAATTCAATGCATTTTTCTAAATTAAAGAATAAAGACAGAAATACATATGTTCCAAAAATTGCAGTGAGGGGTGGGCACAGTGGTGACACCATCCCTTAAAGCAACCGTACCCCATATCGGAGTAGCTGGGTTCAAGTCTCGGCTCCCCTTTCAACTGCATCTTTCTGCTGATGCTCACTGCAGGAGGCAGCAGGTGAAAGCCCCAGTACTTGGATCCCTGTCATCCATGTGGGAGTCACAGATTGAGTGTTGAATTCTGGCTTTGACCTGACCAAGTCTCTGTTACTATGGGTACCACTGGACAGAAGATCTCTGTGTGTTGTGTGTGTTTCTCTACCTTTCAAATAAAATGAAAATAAGATTTTAAAAGGAGCCAGCACTGTGGTGTAGGGGTTAAAGCTGCCACCTACAATGTCGACAACCCATATGGGTGTTGGTTTGAATCCCAACTGTACCACTTCCAAGCCAGCTCTCTGCTAATGCGCCTGGGAAAGCACTGGATGACAGCTCAAGTGTCTGGGCCCCTGTACCCATGTGGGAGACCCAGCAGACGCTCCTCTGGCTTTCTGATTGTAGCCTGGCCAGCCTTGGCTGGAGTGAACCAGCAAATGGAAGATCCTTCTCCCCCCTCCTCTCCCTCTCCACCTCTCTCTGCCTTGCCCCTCTCCTCAGAATGGAGACAATCAACACGATGCCACACTGGCAACCTATCTGGAGCATGTAAGAGTGGCATGACCTACCACTGGGAAGCCACCAGCTAGGGAGCTCTACCTCACCTAACATGGGTATATTAATTCCATTATTCAACAAGTATTTAATTATAGAATACCTGATAAGTGAAAGGAATTCTAGACTATAATTGGAAATAAATTAGAATAATTTATAATAAATTAGAATTTGATCCAATAATGCCATAAATGTGAAAGCTGAGACACAAATTGAAGCTAGGTAATTTGTCAAAACACAGAGTACAAGACGGTGCCATTCATAACCATTAAGAACAAAGGCTGGGCCTGGTGCAGTAGCCTAGTGGCTAAAGTCCTCGCCTTGTATGCGCCAGGATCCATATGGGTGCCGGTTCATGTCCTGGCTGCTCCACTTCCCATCCAGTTCCCTGCTGATGTGCCTGAGAAAGCAGTAGTAGATGGCCTAAGTGCTTGGCCCTGCCCCATGAGTGGACCAGGATGCAGGTCCTGGATCCTGGTTCCCTCCTAGCTCAACCCTGACCATTGCAGCCGTTTACAGAGTAAGCCAACAGATGGAAGATCTCTCTCTCTTTTGTAACTCTGCCCTTCAGGTAAATAAAACAAATTGAAAAAAGGCTGAAGGCAAAAAATGTGAGCATTACCCTTTATCCATGGCTAAGACCAAGTGAAAATTATTCTGAAGAATGGGAATTCCACCAGGAAACCAATGAGAAATCCACTAATTTTCAGTGGTGGGGGGGTTAATAAAAGAGGAATAGTGGCAAGGGAGAAAGAATAACTCACATTTGTTAAGCACTTTGCAACAACATTGCTTATTAACCTGTAATTTCTTTCCTTTTCCATTACTATACAGCCTTAACCTTGTTTCGTGATCACCCCTCTACAGGTGCCTCGGAGGACATGGACTACATATAGCTCGCATTCAGAAGATAAATATTGATCCTCTTTTCCAGCAATTTATTTAAAACTTTTTTTTATGTATTTGCTCTTATTTATTTGAAACGCGGAAAAAAAAACCAGAGACAGAGATCTCCCATACGCTAGTTTTCTCCCCTATGCTCATTTACTCCCCAATGCCCACAACAGCCAGGGCTGGGCAGGCCGAAGCCGGGGGGCAGGAACTCGGCCTGGTCTCCCAGCAGCACGGCAGTGACCCCAGCACCGGGCCCTGACCGACGCCCTCCCGGCTGTGCACAGCACAAGGCTGGAACTGGAAACAGCCAGGACGCAGAGCTCAGGCACTGCACTGCGGAACGTGGGCATCCTAAGCAGTGTGGTATCTTAAGCTGCTGCATCAAATGCCAGCCCCAGAAACCTGTTTTAAGATGGACATTTTGGCCACTGAGAAGTTGAGTGGAGGCCTTCTGGGGCAGTTTCTGGGAAAGGATCTTTTAATATTAGAGAAATTAGAAAAGATAATCTCTGCCTCTGAATGTAGTCATGTCTCTATGAATCGAAAGCTGTAGCCAACTTGCACCCTGAGGAGACTAAGTTCAAGGATATAGCCAACACCTACAGGAAAGTTAAGTGGAGAGATGGGAAGAATTTGGGCGAGGGGGCCCGGTGCTGTAGCCTAGTAGCTAAAGTTCTCACCTTGCATGTGCCAGGATCCCATATGGGACCTAAACCTGGAGGAGGTTCCCGCCTTCTGGCTTCAGATTGTCTCTGCTCCAGCCATTATGGCTGCTTGGGGAGTGAATTAGCAGATGGAAAATCTTTCCTGTCTGTCTTTCCTTCTCTCTGTAAATCTGACATTCTAATAAACATAAATAAATATTTTTTTTTTCCCAAAGCTTTGGGTTGTCCTCAACTGCTTTCCCAGGTCACAAGCAGGGAGCTGGATGGGAAGCAGGGCTGCCGGGACTAGAACTGGTGCCCATATAGGATCCTGGCACCAATATGGGATCCTGGCGCGTGCAAGGCCAGGACCTTAACCACTATGCTATTGCGCCAGGGACATAAATAAATCTTTAAAAAAAAAAAAGGAATTTTGGCCAGTAGATGTTGACATTCTTGATCCATGGGCTCAACCAGCTCTGAAATTTCCTCTATTTCTGAACTTCCTGTCATTGTAGATGATAAATTTCCTTTCTTTATTAAGTCAATTTGAAGAGATATTTTCTGTTACTTGCATCCAAAGGCATCTAAACAGTCAACAAGTAAGTATACTGTTTATTATATATATTATTCATGAGAGGTATACCTTCTATACCCATTCTGTAGATGAAACAGACAATGCAGTCACTTCTGCAGAATTAAACCGGAACAGAACCATAATTTCAGTACAGTGAATTTAGAGCCAATTCTTCTAAGTGTTACCCACCCTGCTTTTTATTAATCCAAACTGATGTTGTCTTTTATAATACCATGAGATGATTTAAGAGCCACAATATGCTTTCTTAATTTTAATTGACATTGATTAATATAAACGTATTTTTATTATCTACAGATGCTATCAAATGGAAACAAAACAATAGGAGAAAAAAAAAAGGATGGTTCCTAAGTAACAAAGGCCAATAGTCTTTTAAAATTATTAATTCATTTATTCATTTCTATCACAGGGAGACAGAGAAGGAGGGGTCTTCCATCCCCTCATTCACTCCTGAAATGCTTGCACCAATCAGTGGTGGACCAGGCAAAAGCCACGTGTCAGGAACTCCGTTCTGGTCTCCCATATGGGTGACAGGGACCCAAGCGTGTGGATCAGACTCTGCTGCTTTCCCAGGCACATTAGCAGGGAGCTTGACTGGAAGGTTGGACTTAATCCTACATTCTACCATGAGCTGCTAGTGCTAGTTTCTCAAGCAGCAGCTTAACCTACTGTGCCAAAAGGCAGCTAAAATACCCTCTCCATGGGTTAAGAGTAAAATAAACTTTCCTACCCATTCCTAAAAAAAGAACAAGAACAAGCCATTGCATCATAAAGGGGTTCTCTATTAATACCAAAAGTCAGAGTTAGGAGACAAGTGACCACAAAAATATCCATATAAAAACCAGAACAGTAAAAAGCTATTGTTTTGAACCAACATGGAGAAAGCCAAAATTCAAGGTTAATGTTCATTTTGAGAAAGCTCTAAAATTCCATAATTCTTTTTTTTTTTTAAAGATTTATTTTTATTATTTTTCTATTGGAAAGGCGGATATACAGAGAGGAGAGACAGAGAGGAAGATCTTCCGTCCGATGATTCACTCCCCAAGTGAGCGCAACGGGCCGATACTATGCTGGTCCAAAGCCAGGAGCCTCTTCTGGGTCTCCCACGCGGGTGCAGGGTCCCAAAGCTTTGGGCTGTTCTCGACTGCTTTCCCAGGCCACAGGCAGGGAGCTGGATGGGAAGCGGGGCTGCCGGGATTAGAACCGGCGCCCATATGGGATCCCGGGCGTGCAAGGGGAGGACCTTTAACCACTTGCGCCACCACGCCGGGCCCAATTCCATAATTCTTAAACTAAAGTTTTCTAGATATCAAAACTGAACAGAAGGGCCCAGCGCGATGGCCTAGAGGCTAGAAGTCCTCAACTTTAACGCACCGGGATCCCATATGGATGCTGGTTCTAATCCCTGCTGCCCCACTTCCCATCCAGCTCCCTGCTTGTGGCCTGGGAAAGCAGTGGAGGATGACCCAAAGCCTTGGGACACTGCACCCGTGTGGGAGACCGGGAAGAAACTCCTGGCTTCGAATCAGCTCAGCTCTGGCCATTGTGGCCATTTGGAGAATGAATTATCGGATGGAAGATCTTCCTCTCTGTCGCTCCTCCTCTCTGCATATATGATTTTGCAATAAAAATAAATAAATCTTTTTTAAAAACCTGCACAATAAAAGACTAAATAGCAACAAAAACCCCACAAACCCGGATACAGAATTAAATACTGAGACACATGGGCCTTGTGACACGTAAGACCAACAGGGAGGAAACAGAACAGATGGAAACAGATACGATGAATTCATGCCTGATTCCCCAGTTGATTTGAACGATTTCGCAGTCACTTCCCCAATGCTCCCTTCCAACCTCAGGTGACTTACATTGAAAGATGCCAGGGCCTCAGACACACTCTTCTCAATGAACTCGTCAGTGATTCGCCGAGAAGGATGCTCGTTAAACACAGAGTTCATTAACGCAATCTTTGCAGCACTCCGCCGAGCCTCTGCTTTAGTGGGGCAAAACTAGGCAGGGGAGAGAGAGTGAGAACATGTATCTTGTGTGCAATCTCAGAGGGAAAAACAGTGGGAAAGAAACACATTTGACTCTTGGGACATTCTTCAGGGAGGGGGAACCCCTTTTTTTTTCTGCCAAAGATCATATGCATATTTATGACATCATTTGTGGGACATCCAAAATTATCAGCTTAAAAATTAGACTGCCATAAGTTCACGGAATTTTTAGTCCTGCTTTCAGTTGCCTTGGCAGAGCTGGTCCAAATGATTTTGAGGGCCTTATAGGTCCCCAGGACAGGATTCCCCACCTTTGCTTTAGATAAGTCAGTTGCGTTCAACACATTTTCCAAGTGTTTAATTGTAAAGAGGTTGGGATGTTTGGACGTATAATTTTGATTCAACATCCTGAAGTCATTGAAGAACTGGAAACAGCTATAGCTCAGACCAAATTGAATGCAGACTAATGAAGGCTGCTGAAGTCAGCATCTAACCACTGGAGAAGAAAAAAAACACTTCTGCTTAAACTGTCAACAGAATTAATTACTCAAAGGCCAGAATCTGGCCAGCTTGTGAGACATCTGCAACTTGTCCTCTTGGTCTATGGATGGGCAAGGCCATTTGGATTCAACTAGAGAACCCATGATTAAAACAAAGCTGTACTGGCCAGGCTGCTTCTGCAGAGGCCCTTATTCTCTGTTATAAGCACTCATCTGGAATTCTTAGACTTCACTTGAACAAGTTTTTAAACATTTATTTATTTGAAAGGCTGAGTGAGACAGAGAGGAAATTCAGAGATATCTTCCAACCTGATTCTTAAGAGCCAGGGTTGAACCAGGATGAAACCAGGCCCCAGGAGCTCCATCTGTGCCTCCCCCTATGACTTGCAGGAAGCCAAATCCTTGAACAATCATTTGCTGCCTCCAGGTGCTCAACCTGCTGTGCTGTGACAGCAACCCACGGATTTCACTTGAGGTTCTGATGGGGCATTTTTCCCAGGAATGCGTGAGCCAAAGGAGCTATTTCTGAAGAAGGTCTAAATTTGAAGACTAAAGAAAGAATTCATAATTTTTTCTTTTTTCAGTGAAGGCAAGGAGCAGCAGGGCAGTTGGAAGGGAACTAGGGGTGTGGGTCTATACCATGGTGTAGTAGGTTAAGCCTCTGTCTGCCATCCAGCTGGCTTGAGCCCAAGCTGCTTCACTTTTCATCCAGCTCCCTGGTAATGTGCCTGGGAGAGCAGAGGAAGATGGCCCAAGTCCTTTGGCCCCTACTCTCACATGGGAGACCTGGAAGAAGCCAGGAGCCTTGAGCAGAGCTCTGGCCACATCTGAACCAGCAGAAGGAAGATTTCTGGCTCTCTTTGGAAATTTTCCTTCTCTCTCTATGAATCTGCCTCTCAATTAAAAATAAATAAATCTTGAAGGGTCATTATGTAGAAAAAAAAAAAAACCAAGGAAACAAGTTTAAAAAGCAAGGAGAAATTCAAGATGAATTCATTAATTTATAACCAACATAGGTATCATGGAACAAGCCTGATTTTCAGAAGTCTTAAACCATTCAACCTCAGATCCCTATCCACAACAGTATTCCTTTATGACTCATCTTTGTTGGCTGCCCTTTGTCATTTAAGATTAAAATGAGAAGAAAGTGATGTTGCAGTTCAGGGGGGTGGACATGGGTGCAGTGATTAAGGTGTCACGTGGGGCACTCACATTCCATATCTGAGTGCTAGAGTCCTGGCTGAGCTCAGGCCTCTGTATTCCCGCTAGTGAACACTTGAGGATGGAGCAGATCACGGTTCCATGCCACATGGTTCCTGCCATCCACATGGGAAACTAGGATTGAGTTCCAAGCTCTGGGTTACAGCCTGGCCCATCCCTGGCTGTTTAGGGCATTAGAGAAGTGAATCAACAAATAGAAGACTTTTCTGGGCTTATTCTATGTCTATATATATTTCTGCTTTTCAAATAAGCAAAAACTCCACAAGAGAATTAAAAACTAGACCAGGATATATTCACTACTTCACCATTTTTACTGTTCATAATTCTTAATTTCCTATAGCTGCAGGTTTTCTCTGAGACAGCAGATGGAGCTTAAGGCACTAACTCAAAGTTTTCTTGCTTCTGAAGTTTCTCTATTATTTGGCTGCTGCCCACTCCATCATATACTGCTGTTTCTGAAAACCACAAGAGAAATTTCACCTGCCAAAGTGAACATAAAAGAAACAAAGCAGGGCCCGGCGCAGTGGGCTAGAGGCTAAAGTCCTTGCCTTGAATGTGCCAGTTCTAATCCCAGCAGCTTCACTTCCCATCCAGCTCCCTGCTTGTGACCTGGGAAAGCAGTCAAGGACAGCCCAAAGCCTTGGGATCCTGCACCCATGTGGGAAACCTGGAGGAAGTTCCTGGCTCTGGATCGGCACAGCACTGGCCGTTGTGCTCACTTGTGGAGTGAATCATCGGATGGAGGATTTTCCTCTCTGTCTCTCCTCCTCTCTGTATATATGATTTTGCAATAAAAATAAATAAATCTTAAAAAAAAAAAGAAACAAGGGGAAAAAAGGCCACAGTCGATAATTATCTGAGAAAATTACAGAAATTAATTGCTAAAATAGTTCCATTATGGGCATCATAAAATGATCAAATTGTGTGACTACCATCAATATGATAAGATGGGTAGAAGGGAAAGATCTTATTCTCTAAGAAAGAATGAACATTAGTTATCTTGGATATGCATTTTTTAAAAAGACATATTTTATTTTTATTACAAAGTGAGATATACAGAGAGGAGGAGAGACAGAGAGGAAGATTTTCCGTCCAATGATTCACTCCCCAAGTGAGTGCAACAGCCAGTGCTGCGCCAATCCGAAGCCGGGAACCAGGAACTTCTTCCGGGTATCCCACACAGGTGCAGGGTCCCAATGCTTTGGGCCATCCTCGACTGCTTTCCCAGAGCTGAAGAAGTGGCGCCGCCGAGATTAGAACTGGCGCCCATATGGGATCCTGGCGCGTCCAAGGCAAGGACTTTAAGCCGCTAGGCCACACCGCCGGGCCCTGGATATGTATTTTTTTTAAAAGATTTATTTTATTTTTATTGCAAAGTCAGATATACAGAGAGGGGAAGAGACAAAGGAAGATCCTCCATGCATTGATTCACTCCCCAAGCAGCCGCAATGGCTGGAGCTGAGTCGATCCAAAGCCAGGAACCAGGAGCCTCTTCTGGGTTCTGGGTCTCCCACACAGGTACAGGGTCTCAAGGCTTTGGGCCATCCTTGACTGCTTTCCCAGGCCACAAGCACGGAGCTGGATGAGAAGCGGGACAGGCGGGATATGAACCAGTGCCCAAATGGGATCCTTGCCCATGCAAGGCAAGGACTTTAGCTAGGTTACCATGCCAGGCCCATATGTATGTATTTCTGAAATGGCTAAGGTTCTGAGGGAAAATTCTGGTTATCAGTCTCTCTTATGAGGAAGAAAGGCGGTGCCTTAATTGAAAAATAAATGGGTGGGGTCTTAGCTTGCATAAAGCCCTTGGGAATTTTTATGGTGCTCCACATGGAATTTAATATCCACATGGTCATCATGGCATTTCCTCTTCTCATGTATCCTGGGAAGAGGCATATTAGATTGACAGGTGACAGATAAAGTTTTGGTGCTGGGCTGGCAAAAACTCTAGCTCACCTATTTCTGCCTAACTCCCTGCCTGGTTCCCCCATATCAACTTGAAATGAAGCTTCCCTAGAATGCTTCTGTCTGAGACCGGGACTATTCTGCAATGGCTCTCACTCTTACGACAGAGAATACATGAAGTGTTTAATATGGCCTCAGTGTAGAGTTGGGAGGTAGGGATTTCATCCCAAACAAAAAAGAATACAGACACAATCTATAGATACTTTCAGGGAGCACAGTCCACTAAAGAAAGCCAACTATGAAACTGAACAAAGGTGACCATTATCTTCTCTAAATTCTTATTTAGACTCCTAAATTGACATTTCAGATGGCTGCTTTCATGTCTGAAATGTGAAAAGCAAACAAACAAAACCCCCCAAAACAAAAAAATAAGTTTAGGGGCTAGTATTGTGACACAGTGAGTGAAGCTACCACCCATGATGCTGACTTCCCTGATCAGAATACCGGTCCAAATTCCGGCCATTCCACTTGTAATCCAGCTCTCTGTCAATGTGCCAAAGCAGTGGAAGAATCTGGACCCTGCAGCCCATGTGGAAGACTAGGATGGAATTCCAGGCTCCTGGTTTTGGTGTGGCTCATCCCAGGCTATGGTCCCATTCTGCGGACGTGAAGGGGGTGAACCAGGAGATGGGAGATCTCTGTCTCTCTCTGTTACTCTTTCAAATTAAAAAAATAAAAACCTAAATAAATAACAGCCCAGGACAATAACTCATCAACTAAAGTCCTTGTCTTGCATGTGCCAGCATACCATACGGGTGTCGGTTCTAATCCTGGCAGCACTACTTCCCATCCAGCTCCCTGCTTGTGGCCTGGGAAAGTAGCTGAGGACGGCCCCAAGCCTTGGGACCCTGCACCCACTTAGAGACCCAAAAGAGCTCTAGGCTTCTAGCTTTGGATTAGCTCAGCTCTAGCCATTGTGGCTGCTTGGGGAGTGAATCATTGGATTGGAGATCTTTTCTGTCTCTCTTCCTCTCTGTATATCTGACTTTGCAATAAAAATTAAAAAAAAAAAAAAAAGAAAGAAAGAAAGAACGGATAGTTACTATTATGGGATCCCAAGAAATCACTATGGACTACTATGAAGATTTTTAGTAAAAATATGTACTATTATTACTACTAAGCAGAGTTACACAGAGAGAGCAAGAGCTTCCATCTGCTGGTTCACTCCCCAAAAGTCTGTAACAGTTGGAGCTCAGCCAATCCAAAGTCAGAAGCTTTTTCCAGGTCTCTCGCATGGCTGCAAGGATCCAAGGTCTTGAGCCATCCTCTGCTGTTTTCCCATTCCATAAGCAGGGAGGGAATTGGATTGGAAGTGGAGCTGCCGGGACACAAACTAGTACCTATATGGAATGCTGGTGCCGCAGGCAAAGTCTTAGCCCACTATAAAATGACCTGGGGCCTGGCCCCACTACTATGAATATTACAGATAAACTTATCATTTTATTTTATTGTTATTTGAAAGGGTAGACTTCTAGAGAAAGAAGGTGAGATAGAGAGATGTTCCATTTGCTGGTTCACTCTCTAAATGCTACAATGGCTGGAGCTGGGCTGGTTCCTCAGCCAGGAGCCAGGAACTTCCTGTGGGACTCCCAAGTAGGTGCAGGATTCCAAAGACTTGAGTAATCCTTTGCTGCTTTCCCAAGTGCATTAGCAGGTAGTTGGATTGGAAGTAGAGCATCCAGGACTTGAACCTGCACCCACCTCCACAGAAAAAGGCTTAATCCACCATGCCATAGTGCAGGCCCCAAAGATGGATTTTTACAAAAAATGTGTTTTATGTATTTGAAAAGAACAATGACAGAGAAACAGAGAGATCTTTCATATGTTGATTAACTCCCCCAATGCCCCAACATCCAAGGTAGAAACCAAGAGCCTGGAATTCCCATCCCCCCTCCCTTGTAGGTGGCAGGGATCCAAATACTTGGGCCATCTTTTGCTGCCTTTCCATGCACATTAGTAGGAAGCTGGATCAGAAGTGGAGCAGTTAGGACTCAAACTGGCACTCTGACATGAGATGCTAGCATCAGAAGCTGTGACAACCTACTGAGCCAGAATACTGGCTCCAGCAATCATTCTTTTCATCATGTTAGGTCTTTCATATAATTGTAGAATGTCATTAGAAAAAATGTTAGAAATATCTTCATGTTATAGATAGGGAAACCAAGGCCCAGAAAGTTATCTGACAACTCACTGGCAATCAGAGGAAACAAAAATTGAGATTCCTACCCTTGGATTTCTCAGCGAGTTCAAACACTGCTTTCTTTAGCAATCACCTGTATAAGAGTACAAGCAACAAGGTATATGGTTCTTTATCCTTAAGAAGAGATGGTAGAAAGTTGGAATGCCATAGATGAAAGAGCAGAGCATGAACTGGGTGCTGGCAGTGTGATACACTGACCAAGGTATATTCATAACTCTTCAAATCCAAAATGGGTTTGAAGTTTTGCAGGCTCAAAGAAAGCAGCATGATGCTGAGGGTCTTCTAAGGGCCAAAAGAGACTCAGAAACTTGCCTGAAGGATTTTCCTGGAATTGGCTTAAATCCCCAAACATGTGATTGCAGAGAGAGATTTCACGGCCAAAATGATAGAGAAAACTCATGTGGTCTCCTAAAGGGTTCCTCTTTGTAAACGCTACACTGGCAACTCTTACCTGGAAGCTTCCAAAGCAGCTCCCTCCCGGCAGGGTGACGTAGCAGACATAGGGAGGGCTGTTGGAAGGAACCATCTCATAAACCACCAGGGCCCCGTTCTTCAAGTCAGCCCCACGGGACTGCTTCATCTGCCAGAATTCCTGAAGGGCCTCCACCACATTCACTGCAAAAAGAGAAGACATTAGCAATGTTGACACCTGCAAGGGTGCTGAGCTGCAGCACAGCGCGACCATCTGTACTCAGCAAGCTGATCATTACCATGTACAAGCGAGTGAATGATTAAACCCACGCTGTGATGAACTTCATTTGTATACACCAACCAGAATACGCCTGCCCTCCTCTCACCCCTCTCTAGTTGACTTAATTAGGCGTGGACACACAAGGAGAATAAATTAGGTAAATACTGGAGGCAGAGTTTCCAAGATCAACAGACCCTTATCAATACCTGACGAAGTACAGCAGGCCTAGAATAATAACCACCGCAAGTTTTACTGAACATTTACCATATGTCTGGCATTTCCCTAAAGAATTTACCCACATCTTCATAGCAACTTTATGAGGTAGGTGCTTTTCTTATCCCCATTTCACATCTAATAGAAATTAAAGTAGTGAGCAGGAATTTAAACTTGGTCAGTCTTGTTTACGCAGCCCATGATGTTGATCGTTAGGCAATATTGTCAGACAAGAAAATTGAGTCATGTTCAATCCATGCTTCTAGTGAGCAAACCAATGGCTAGATTCTTCTTCCATCTGGAATTCTGTGTGTATACTATGTGAAAGAGAAGAGGCATCCAGATTGCTTTTCTCTAGCGGGCTTACCTGGGTATATGTGCTTTTTGGAGGAACTCTCTGGTGGCAGCTACTCCTCCATCAGTCTCTCAAGCCCTTTCTTGCTAGGTATACTAAGATCACAAGGTCCTGACCGCTCCTACTCAGACCTTCTCATGACTGCGTTTGCAGCAAGAAATCTTAAAGATGAGATGATGCCTCCCTCTGCAACCAAAACCAGACCTGTTTATTGCTTATTACAAAATGGCAGCTTCTTCAAGTTCAGTGTTCCTCCTTGTGACACTGGCCACTGTGCAAGCATCCATGTTGGACTTGGCAAGCAAGGAAAACCAACACAAATAAGACGTTCATGCTGTATGCTGTGCTTTGAGTAATAAAGTCCTTTATCTCTGACTCAGAAGTCTTTGACTTCTGCTAGCATTCATTAGATAGTAACTAATTAGTTGTAAAATCAAACTCCAGACCTGACACTAATCTAAAACCCTTATTCCCATCTCACAATTCTTGGGCCCAGGCACTCCACAGGGGTAGGTGTTCAGTATCTACCCCAGGTTAGATTATGAATTAGATTCTAGGTCACACTAGTGAACACAATCACACATGGTTCCTTTTTTTAATGTTGCCTGCAGTGTGAAGGGGGAGAAGCAAAAATAAAATCAAACAAATGTAAAATTTCAACTAATAAATTCTATAAAGTGATACATTCTAAAAAGGAGTGGTAAACAGAAAAATTATAGGACTATCTGATCTAGTTAAGAAGGTCAAACAAGAGGCCAGCATTGTGGTACAGCAGGTAGACCACCACCTGTGATGTTGATGTATTTCCAGCTCCCTGATAATGGTCTGGAAGAAGCAGAGCAAGACGACCCAAGTATTCCCCTGCCATGCACATGGGAAACCTGAATGAAGCTCCTGGCTTTGGCCTGGCCGTCTGGGGAGTGCATCAGTGGAGAGATCTCTTGCCTCTTTCTCTATCTCTCTCACTAACTCATACTTTCAAATAAATAAGCAATAATCTCTTTAAAAAAGAAGAAGAAGGGCCCAGTGCAAAGATGTTGCAGTGAAAGTCCTTGTCTTTCACACGCCGGGATCCCATATAGGCACCGGTTCTAATCCTGGCAGCTCCACTTCGCATCCACCTCCCTGCCTGTGGCCTGGGTTTTGGGACCCTGCACCCGCACGGGAGACCTGGAAGAGGCTCCTGGCTTCAAATTGGCTCAGCTCCAGCCGTGGTGGTCACTTGGGGAGTGAGTTAGTGGACGGAAGATCTTCCTGTCTGTCTTTCCTCCTCTCTGTATATCTGCCTTTCTAATAAAAATAAATAAATAAATAAAAAGAACAAAAAAGGTTTGAGGAGGTAAATTCAGGTATGAGTAAGAAGTCACTAGGTAACAAGTAACAGAAGAATTTTCTGAACATAAAGAACAGCATAGGGCCCGCTGTGGTAGCCCAGTGGTTAAAGTCCTCACCTTGCCTAAATAAATCTTTAAAAAAAAAAGAATAGCATATACAAAGGCTTTGTGACAGCAGAGAATACAATGAGTTAAGGTAATGAAAGAAGACCGGTTTGCTACAAACGAGAAAAAGTGAGGGAATGCAATGCAGATGAGGTAGTACTCCTTGAAAACAAGATTAGGGCTGTGGAAAGTTTGATTTTATCCTAAGTATTGGGAAGCAACTGAAGGATTTTAAACCAGAGTAATGAGATCCATTTGGTTTTGGAAAGGATCACTTTGATTTGAGGATATTAAACATTTCAAGAACCTTTAACAAAAGCTTCACAAACACAAATTATCTTTTTTTTTTTCCCTAAAGATCCATTTATTTTTATTGGAAAAGTAGATATACAGAGAGCAACATCTTCCATCCACTGATTCATTCCCCAAGTGGCTACAACAGCCAGAGCTGAGCTTATCCAAAGCCATGAGCCAGGAGCTTCTTCTGAGTCTCCCACATGAGTGCAGAGTCCCAAGGCTTTGGGCCATCCTCTACTGCTTTCCCAGGCCACAAGCAGGGAGCTGGATGGGAAGTGGAGCAGCCAGGACAGGAACCAGTACCCATATGGATCCCATGCACTCAAAGCAAGAACTTTAGCCACTAGGCTACCGTGCCAGGCCCAAATACAAATTATCCTGTGTGCTCTCCAGTATCTTGCAGCATGACCACTCTCCTACCCTTAATCACAACAACGACTTACTCCTTCTTTCAGATTGCATTAATTAGTTCAGATCTGTCAAGAAGCCGTCAAGATAGTAAAGCAATGAAAGAGATACACTGCAGAAGTAGGAGAGGGCTGGGGGAGGCTTCGGAGTACAGCGGGAGTCTGACATTGGTAGGAGGAAGGGAAAGAAGGTTTGGATTTGAGAATCTCAGACTGTAATGCAGGTCCCAGAAAGGTTTGGCCAAGCTAGTGGAAGTTCTCAGGCTGAAGGAGTCTAACGTCTCACCAGGATGTGCCTTATTAATCCTCCACTGTGTTCAGTCATTGGCTGGGAGATGCATACAGGAAACGTGACCTCAGTGCGGATGTGGCAATGAATCCAAAAAAGGCAACAGCTGAGGCTGGTTGCGTCAGCTATGCTCCTGGAAGCTGGAGAGCTGAATGGCCTATTTTCATGGTTGCCATGCATACACATTGGCCAAATTGTAAAAACTCAATAGGTGCATGACTCCATTCTAGATCTTAAGGATGAAAATAATACACAATCCTTGACAGCAGGATGCTCAAGATCTACTCAACAGTCACAGCTGCCTTACCTGCTCAGCAGCCACCAGACACCCCATGCGCACAGCCAGAATTTAAAACAATCTTTTCTAATGTCCTACATTTAGCTGACTTTCTAGAATGCTTATTCTCCCATTAAAAGACAGCATGAAAAGGAAACACTCTCTTTCCCACCCTTGGTTTTGGCAAGGGCTCTTAAAAGGTCACTGCTACCCGGAAAGTTTAGCCATCTTTGTTCTTCGCATTGAGATCTTTTCAACCCAGTTCCCTCTTTGAGGCAATTTAGCACAATGCACTGGCTGACAGCTCTCCTCACATGCAAACAATTGGGAAGAATAGTGGAATAAAGAGGAGGGGGAGGAGACCACCATAATTGGGAAAGTCCTGTTAGAAAGCACATGTCTATCCCATATCCACTTAAATATCACTTGGCGCAGAGATCGGCACAGGACTACTTTATTTTTTTTTTATTTTATTATTTTTAGGACTATTTTAAAATGACTGCTAAAAGCCAAAGGAGATGGAGGTGGGGAGGTCTCATTTAGAAAATATGAATATGAAATGAGAAATTGGGAAAATGATCAAGAAAAAAGCAATGAACTGACCTGCGACTGAAAATGCCCATAGATTTATTCATTTTTAGAGTTGGAGGAAGCTTGAAATTATCTGGTTCTATTTAAGCTAAAGAAGGACAAATTATTTGCTCGAGGTCACAGGCTGTAACAGAGTTGGAGTATGGGTATAAATATCCTGGATTCAGTGTTTTCTCCATTTTGCAGATCTTGATCCTAGGTCCAAAATTCAGTCCATGATAGATATCGTGGTTTACAAATGGCTAGAGAAGAATGAGTGGAAGACGTATACATATGATAGCTATGTTTATTTTTTGGGAGTCACTGACAGATGCAGGGCTGGAGGGAAAAGAAAGACCAGAATAATGAGTAATATTTAAGTGTTTATGCCATTATGTGGAACAGTAACAATAATTTGATTTTTATCCTAGGACATAAAAATAATAGATGAATGTTTAAATGGAATGAGGTCATTTATTTACCAGAAGAAAAACACTAAAACAACACATGAAACTATAATTAACACTTTATGTCATAAGAATAAATGCAATTCTGTGGCAAGGGAGCAGGGATAAAGAGATAATAAATAGATGGTGAAATTGAGAGGTGAGTAAAAAACTCCCTGTGATCATAAAGGATGTTGGGAACAGGCTATCTCAGCTTACCTCAAATTTTATGACTGAGATGGAAGCCATTATTATGGCAATATTTCATCTGATTGTTTAAATTCGACTTTTTAGAAGAGTCCCATGAATGGCCCACAGTATACAATCTCTGTGGGAAAGAGGGAGTCCCAGGGACTCTGGGAGAGGAGTGCGGTAGGCTGAACAATACCCTCTGCCAAACTGTCTATATCCTAATCTTCAAGACCTACAAATGTTACCTTATATGGCAAAGACTTTGCAGTGTTTAATTAAGGAATCTGAGATGGGGAGATTATGCTGGATTATCAGGATGGGCTCTAAATGCTTATAAAAGGAAATCAGATGTAACAAGACGGACTAGAAGCAGGCATGAGGCAGAGATCAGAATGAAACAGTCATGTACCAGAGAATGCTAGCAGCCACCAAAAGCTGGAAGAGGCCAGGACTAGGTTCTTTGCTAGAGCTTCAGGGGGGAACATGTGGTGTCAATTTTGCTTTTTTTTTTTTTTTAGAGAGATTTATTTATTTTTATTGGAAAGGCGGATATACAGAGAGGAGAGACAGAGAGGAAGATCTTCTGTCCGATGATTCACTCCCCACGCGGCCGCAACGGCTGGAGCTGAGCCAATCTGAAGTCAGGAGCCTCTTCCAGGTCTCCCATGCGGGTGCAGGGTCCCAAAGCTTTGGGCTGTCCTTGACTGCTTTCCCAGGCCACAGGCAGGGAGCTGGATGGGAAGGAGGGCCCCCGGGGAATAGAACCAGTACCCATATGGGATCCTGGGTGTGCAAGGCGAGGACTTGAACCACTACACTATCGCGCCAGGCCCCGTGGTGTCAATTTTGTACTTCTGATTCCAAAACACGGAGAGAATAAATTTCTGTCATTTCCAGTCACCAATTTTGTGATGGTTTGTTATGGTAGCCACAGGAAATTCACACAGGGATTCATCCGCATTTCCAAAAATCAGAAATATTTTCACTAAGCAGTTTGATTTCAGTCACTTACAAGGAAAAAGCCAGCTATGATTCTGAGGAAAAGAAACTAAACAGAGAACACTATACAAGACTCACTTGTTCAGCCGAGGGGACTAGCTGGGCAAAATCTCATCACGTAGCCATATTATAAAGCAAAGTGGGACTGAAGACTTACAAGCGCAAGGAACATGACTTACTCAACCACACCAGTTCACAAACTGCCAGATGTCATACTGGAGAAGGGGACTGGTTGACAGTGGAAAAAGAGGGCAAAGGAAATGATAATACCAATACCTATTACACATAAGATTCTTAAAGTATTTCAAAATGCATATTAGCAGGTACTCGTTGAGCACTGTCGGCTACAAGCTTTATATTGCTCACCTCACTTAATTCACAAGAAACTATCAAGAGATGTATTATAACACCCGTTTCACAAGGTCAAAGATTTAAGAAACAAACCAGAAGTAGCAGAACTAAGATCTAGAATCATTTACTTGACCTCAGAGCCAGCCTCCCTTCTATTGCATGATCTTCCTTTTTGCGCCATGAATCCTCACACATGTTCTGTAAAAGCGGACTATGAGCTCCATCCAGATGGGGACTAAATGCCTGCCTTGATGACCGCACAACTGGTGACCCATGAATATCTGTTCAATGAACAGAACAGAGGAGGCATGCAAAGATGAAGCAGCTTTGCCAAGATCACACCATTTAACAAGGCTAGGCTCTCTTGATCTCAAATCCTATGCATTATAAACTGATGAAGACCCTATGATGAGTGGGAGTGGGAAGAGATAAAGGACAAATGAGTCAATCAATAGAAGAGTTTTCAACAAAAATACTGAAGTCCTCTATGCATGAAGGTAAATCTAAAGATTATGACTGGGAAAAGTTATTTTTGAGCAGCCAAGAAGATGAAGGATATGAGTTGAAGATAATGCAGTGAAGTCTTACTGAATCTGGGAATGGTTTGGGCAGAGACCAAAGTAAATTGTATCCTCCCGAATACCGTGCCATCAGTCACAAGGGTATGTGGGTATGTGCCAGCAGCAGCTTTGCCTATTAATCAAAGTAGAATAAGTGATTCCATGTGGGGAAGGACTTCCGAGCCAAATCGGCAGAGATTTTTGCTTGCCTGAAGCTGAATTAGCTGCCAAATTCTCCTTAAGTACTGGCGGGGCACTCCAACTGGAAATGAGAAACTCAAGAACAACGAGAAGGACTGCGATGAGAGGTGGAAGGCTGGGGGAGCCTGAATGGTGGCTTTCTGTCAGCACAGCCTGCTCATTCCCCTCTCCTTTCTAAGGAAATCAAGGAGTTTTTGCTGAACGCTCAGTCTGGGAGCAAAGCCAGAGGTGCTCCAGGTAACCCAGACGAGAGGTCCATGTCCAACGGCTAAGCCTTTCTTTGACCTCAACTCGGAGACCTGCAGGAGCAGGCTGGCACCTGGTGGCAGGCAGCTCTGTCACACAGCCTTCTTAAAGCCAGGAATTCAGGTGGAAGAGTAAGTATTTCCCTATGACAGATTTCTGAATCCTCGCCTTTTGCATTCATAGTTTCCCATCCATGGCAAGGATTCAAACTGAAGAATGAGGAGAGGCTGTTGATACATGAATGAATCATTAGGCAACAGAGAAAAGTGGATTTAAAAAACATTTTTGTTAAAATCTTCAGCTTTAGGGCCCGGCGCGATAGTGTAGTGGTTAAGGTCCTCGCCTTGCATGTGCCAGGATCCCATATGGGCGCCGTTCTAATCTGATGGTACTGCCCATCCAGCTCCCTGCTTGTGGCCTGGGAAAGCAGTCGAGGACGGCCCAAAGCCACGGGACCCTGCACCCACGTGGGAGACCTGGAAGAGCTCCTGGCCCCTGGCTTCGGATCGGCTCAGCTCCAGCAGTTGCAGTCACTTGGAGAGTGAACCATCAGACAGAAGATCTTCCTCTCTGTCTCTCCTCCTCTCTGTATATCCGCCTTTCCAATGAAAATAAATAAAACATTTTTATATTAAAAAAAAAACAAGTAAAATCTTTAGTTTTATACCATGTGGATTTAAGAGCAGGAAAAAATACAATGTTGTTCTCCCTAAGGAAATACAGCCCAACAAGTCTGCTATCATAATCATTCAGTAATATCCAGTATGCACCAGTACCAATATCTTAATTAATTCATGTCACAGTTCTTGAGGAAACAAAAGCACAGTGAGGTTGAGTCCCTTCCTCCAAATATATCTAGCTGGCAATAGGGATTTCCAAAGTTTGTGTATGCACTTTTCGCTAGGCCTGCTCAAAAAAAAAAAAAAAAAAAAAAAAGTCACTGTTTATACAGAAAGCCCATTGTTAAAATAGAAAGTTAAAGCTGTAAGTCACTTCCAGGACAAGCAGAACCTGGTTAGACAGACAGAAGAGATGTCTTGCAAATCGCAGATTCACCCCCCCCCCCCCATATCTCCCACCCTTTACCGTCCCTTGCTCCGCAGCACTAAAAATCTGGAACTCCAATTCCAGGAAATTCTATCCTGGTAAAACAGAAACAACAAAGAAAACCCTCGCATCCCCCTTCCCAGAGACAGGCATCTTGAAGAGGACGATTCCTCACTGAAATGGAGTTTCTACCTGGCTCCTTTCCACTGAGTTAACACTGAGACAGCCAAGTCCTGGAATTTATCCTCCGCTTCTGGGCAGCGGCCAGGAAAACAAGGCCAGACAGACAGGGAGACCAGAGCTGTGGGGCTCCCCTAGTAAAAGAGACGCCTGGAGTCAAGTCCTAAGGCACAGGAAGCCGGGGAGGGCCCAGCCGGTCTAGATGTAAAGGCACAATCACTAGCACCCCGTAATTTCTCCCAGCCAATCTGAAGTCACATTCGAAATTTCAGAATGAAGTTAAGCGAGGGATGAAGAACCCAAGGTGAAGGAAACGGAGTCCTGGAATTGCCGAGTTGCAGAAGAAATGTTGAGGAAAGATGGCTAAGAAGTGTCTTGAACATGAGATAAAGGGCAGGATCCCACACAATGGGAACTGGTTTTCAAAGGGCAAGAAATGTTGGGATACTCAGCTGCGGGAAGAATTGCATTTCTGAAGGAGGCAAGTTGGAAAGAAAGGGTTGTTTCCTCTTTCTCCCAAAAAACTGGGGTCCCTTGAAAATCTATTAATAACTCAATAAAGGGGAGGGAGTGGAAGGCTTCAATGCATGTATTGTGTGATTGTGCCTGCGCCTATATGCAGCTGAGAAGGAAATTCCCAAAGGAAACGCATGTTGGGGCTCCACGCCCGGGAAAGGACTGTGAGAGAGCAGGGCCCCTTCACAGGGAGGGGGGTCCCGCAGGAGGCCAGACCCACAGACTCACCTCGGCCATAGCCCTGCGTGTGCTTGGCGAAGCTCCTCACCACCGCCTCCACGGCCTCCCGCAGCACCGCGGGGCTGCCGGTCGCCCCGGGGGGCAGGGGCAGCCCCGGGGCCCCCGACAGAAGCAGCGGCGGCGGGGGCGGTGCGGGGGGCGGCGGGGCCGGCGGGGGGCCCGCCGGGGGTGTGGCGGCGGCGGTGGCGGCAGCCCCGGTCACGCCGGGCCGCAGCGCTCGAAGAGTGCCCCTCCCGCCGGTACCCACTCCAGGCTGCAGCCGCTGAGCTCGCATCGTCTCCATCCCGGCTGCCAGCAGAGTAGTGGCCCGCAGCCTGCCAGGCTGGCGAGCTAACGGTCCCCAGCCACCCCCGTCAGCAGAGCCCGGGGACTGAGGGCGGTGCCGGGGCCCAGCCGCCAGGCAAGTGGGGGCGGGGACGACCCCTGCCTCATGCCAATCACCGGCGAGGGGCGGGAGAGGGTGGGCTTCGGCTCCGCCATAGGCAAGTTGCTGAGGAAGGTGGGGGGACTGAGAACCAATTGCAAAGAGAAAAGGCGATACTTTCTACATAGGAGAAGCCAGCGCGTCTCGGGGAGCTTGGTGGCGGGTACTAGAAAGCCGGCCAGATCCGTGGGCGGGACTTGAGGAAATACAGACCTGGATGCAAGTCCTGGGAAGAACTGCTGACACCAGTGAGGATTCAGAGACCATGTGTCGGACCACTTGGTTTTCAAAATAGACACGACGGTTTTACATGTACATGAGGAAAGTGTGCTTAAAAGAAGTAGTGGAAGCTGTCCAAGATCCCATGCAATTGTTAGTAGAGCTAAAGTGAGCGATGCTATTGGCATGTAACGAGCAAATTCTGTGCAGGGTGCTTTAATGCCTTGTCTTATTCAATAAGCATACTGACTAACTAGATTTTATTATTTTACAGAGAAGAATATTGGTATTAGCGCCTGGAACGATGGCTCAATGGCTGAATCCTCACCTTGCCAGCGCCAGGATCCCATATGGGCACTGGTTCATGTCCTGGCTGCTCCACTTCCCTCCAGTTCCCTGCTTATGACCTGGGAAAGCAGTACAGGATGGTCCAAAATCTTGGGACCCTGCATCCGCGTGGGAGACCCCATTTGGGCCACTTGGGGAGCGAACCAGTGGATGGGAGAGCTTTGTCTCACCTTCTCTCCATATATCTGATCTGCCTTTCCAATAAAAATAATTCTAGAAAAATGATGCTCAAGAAGACTACGTCAGGGCCTGGCGGCGTGGGCTAGCTACTAAAGTCCTCCCCTTGAACACGCCAGGATCTCATATAGTCACTGGTTCTAATCCTGGCTGCTCCACTTCCCATCCAGCTCCCTGCTTGTGGCCTAGAAAAGCAGTCAAGGATGGCCCAAAGCTGTGGGACCCTGTACCCACATGGGAGACTCAGAAGAAGTTCCTGGCTCCTGGCTTTGGATCCCGTTGTGCTCACTTGGGGAGTGAATCATCAGATGGAAGATCTTCCTCTCTGTCTCTCCTCCTCTCTGTATAATCTGACTTTGTAATAAAAATAAATAAATCTTAAAAAAAAAAGAAGAAGACTACGTAAATGTTAGGGTATGGCAAGAGGAGGTTCAAAAGTGTGGGGGGTTTTTTTGTTTGTTTAACTTATATTAATTTAACTGAAAGAGAAGAATGCCCGTGTTTCCACCCATTGGTTCATTTTTCAAATCCTGCAAATGGGCAGGATTGACCAGCTGAAGTGTGAAGCTGACAGCTCACTGCAGGACTTCCAGTGAGAATGGCAGGAACCGGTGTAGTTACCCATCATAGCAGCCTCCCAGGTCCTACACTGGTAGAAAACTGGAGTGAGGAGCCAGAATTAGGTGTCAGGCCTGGGCACTCCAGTGTGGGATGCATGTGTCCCACCTGCAAGTCTGAGCACTGCCCAACACAGGTGCTATGATTTCCCACATTTTCATTTTTTGCTATGCCATATTGTGCAATTTTCTGATTCCACTGAGGGAGTTACAGAGTAGAATGGAATGGATGGCTCACTTTACTTCCCTTTTGAGAGACAGATATAAACAGAAATCCAACAAACTGAGAAATCTACGGAGCCGATTAAGAAAGATTGAGATCCTCAGATCTCTCTGTCTCTGTAACACACACACACACACACACACACACACACACACACACACGTCAGTTGACCACTGTGCCATTTGTGTGTAGTAGGTACCCCCCATCTCTCCTATAGTAGCTTAGAAATCAAGGATAGAGAAATAGGGTCAGAAGTAGAAGAAAATGAATGAAATCTACCTGATGAAACACAACTAGGCCCCAAATAAAAATTATAAATAGTCAAGAAATAGGAAGCTTGAAAAGGAACAGTTCATCTACTGGAACTTGTGTTGATGGTGTAGGGAAGGAACTGTTGGTAGGAATCTTCAAAGAAATTAAAAATGGTTTTGATGGTTCCCAGGGTTACCGGAGGAGGGCGGAGCTTGCTTCCAGCCCAGTAGGACATTCAGACCTAAGGCTACAACCCCGAGGGTTGGAATTCTGGCACCCCTTCAGGCAACGGGGTCACTGCTGCACCAATGAAGGACACAAAACAATATTCCACAGCAAATAAGATCCAAAGCAACCCCCCCCCCCCCCCCCGCTTCAGTTTCCACGTCAAGGAGGGTATAAAACTCCCCAGTACATCTCTTCCAGGCTTTGCTTTCCTCTGTAGTTCCCTGGTTCACACCTGACTTTCTGTTACACGTGGAAGGGAAAGCCTGTGACCAAGGTTCCCTGGAATAAAGCCCATCTAAATCCTTTTCTATATGTGGCTGATGTGTTCCTTCCCTGGTGGCCAGCGGATCTAACAGGTTTGTTGTGGATTGTGAATGTGTTGTGGTTTAGTGGGTCTTTGTGATCATTTAAGGAGTGAATCATGGATGAGTCTCTTTGTAAAGTAAAATAAATAGATCTTTAAAAAATAATAATAAAGAACGGAGACAGGAAAGACTGCAGCAAATGAAAGCCCATCAAGTGCCTTAAGACCTTCAGGACACAGGATATTCTTGCCTTTCCCCCCTACTATCACAGTTAGTTGGACTCCTGGAGAGAAGGTAGCTGAAATCTAGATGATTATAGCTATAAATTAGTATCACCCTCCCTCCCCACTCCTAATTTCCCACTCCTCATTCCCCATGCCTCCAGGCAGAAGTGACAAAACAAAGACTTCCGAACACATTTATTTGATAAGTCAAGTGGAGAGAGGCGTTATTTAGGGTTCCTCCCCACTTCTCTCGGTGGGGGTGTTCATAAGCTCAGACAGAAGAGCAGCTTAGAGCCCATGACCCACCACCCCTGGGAAAATGAGTCAACCTGTTAGTGGTGGCTGTGGGGGAAGGACAGGGTGGGAGTAAAAGCAGGAAGTTGAGAAGTCAAGCTGAGAGTAGGAGGGCAGCAGTAGTACTGAGGGGGCAGGGACTGGCTGCAGGAACCCCCAAGAAGAATGAGAAGATATCCTGTAAGGTGAGTGGGGCTGAAAGCAGGGTGTGAACATAGGGCCAGGTCTGCAGAGGCAGGACCCATAGCACTAAGTGGTGTATTCATGAAGTCCAGTGTGCAAAATCATGAGAGGCTGTGTTGCAGGGCATACATGGAAAGCACGGACTTGCTTCAGCAGGAGGGCAAAAATACAGACGATGACCCACAAAGTCGGGTTCCCCCACTGTTTCTGAACAGATGCTTAGGACCCAGTGGTCCTCTGTGTTTATTAGTTAGTGTGTTGTGTCTGTGGGTGCACAAACAATCCCTTGTGCACGTGAAATGTTCAGGCATGAGCGCATGTGTCTATACATTCGGTAAATAAAGAGTGCTTGTCTTTTCCTGCTAATAAGATTCCTGTGCTTGTGGACACATCATGTTGACCCATATGTGCGTGCACCGTGCTGTGAGCACATGCAAGAGATCGCTATGTCTGTGGTATAAGTGTATCTGTGTGCGTGTGTAAGCCGATCCACCTGTCCCATCGAGGTCCCTGCTGCCCACCCTCCCTTGGCTCCTCTCAGACCTCTCAACGCCCTGGCTCCCCTGGCCCACCTAAACTCTGGAAACCCCCTAGCAGGCGTATCTGCTCAGTCTGCATGGAGTGGCGTCTCACCAACTTGCGCTTGGTCCTGGGAGAGCCTGGCGCCCCGGCTTGGGGAGGAGCAGGTAGGGAAGGCGCCCGGCCCCCGGGTTGGGGACGGATGTCGGGGATGGGAGGGTGGGGGCTGACGTTGAGTGGAGGCAGGAAACCTGGGCGTGTTTGCGAGATGTGGTCCAGGAGCAACGTCCCCGAGCCCCTGCGCTCCAGCAGCCCGGGACTCCGCCTCCGTCCGCTCAGCGGAGAGACGGCTCCCGGCAGACTCTCCTGGGACTGGCGCGGGGAGGGAGCCGAGGCGGCAGGAGGGAAGGCCAGCGGGGAGGCGCTGTACCGGCGACGCTCCAAGGCCAGACGGCTGCACTCAGGCGAGTCGGTGCAAAAGTGTCCGGGGGTGTCGAGCTCCAACGACTCCATACGGCTCAGTTTCTGTCGCAATCCTGAAGGGGGACCAGGCTCCTGAGCCTCGGGCGCAGTGTTTCGGCGGGAGAGAGGACCCCCGCCCGTCACTTTCTCCGCCCAAGGGGGCGGGTCCTCAGGGCCTTCCGTGCTGTGACGTCGGGAAAGACGGGGTCGGCCGCTCAGGGTCAGGCCATTGAATTCGGCGGTCAAGCGTTCGATCCCCGGTCTCCCTTCGGCGGGTGGAACCGGTTGTGGAGGGGCCACGAGCCCCCAGGGCTCGGAGTTGAGCCTCTTTAGTGGTTTCGGGGGGTGACGGGGTGGTTTGGGGAGCGGCTCTGAAGGGGAAGGGTCATCGAGGGGCTTAGGAAGAGGGAATTCAAATACGTCCCGCTTCTCCTCCTCCTCCTGGGCGCGAGGGGATAACGACCCACGCCCTCCTCCTTTTTCTCCTCCTCCTCCAGCAGTCTGAAGCTGTATTTCTGAAGGCGATGTGCAGACCCCGGGGCTGGGTGGGGCGGGAGCAGGATCCTCCACCCCAGGGGACGGTGGAGAATTGAGATATTGACGCGTCTTCTTGGTGCCCGAGGGCGAGGTGTCGGTGGTGATGATGATGACTTCCGTGCCCTTGGCCTTGCAGGCGTCCAACAGCGTGGCAAGGGTCTCCCGGTCCCCACGGTCCAGGGCGTGGACCAGCGCAGAGGCGCCCGCGTGATCTCTGACGGAGGGGTCTGCGCCGTGCGCAAGAAGCAGCGAAGCCACCGCGGCGCCCCCACCTCCTGCGCAAGCATGCATGAGAGCCGTGCGCCCTAGGCGGTCTGCGATGTTGGGGTCCGCGCCTTGCTCCAGGAGGTAGCGTACCATGCGCGCCTTGTTTTGGGGGTCGTCGTAGCGGGCCCGGCAGGCCGCCATTAGCGCAGTCTCCCCCTGGGCATCACCCTCGTTCACGTAGGCGCCCCCTTCCAGAAGCAAACGGGCCAAGCGCAGCTTACCCTGACCCACAGCCCGAAGCAGAGCATGGCCCTCGGTGTGCAGCATAGCTGCGGCTGGAGCGAGAGCACTGATGGAGCCGGGACTGGGACCTGCTGAAGATGGCTAGGGGCCTGGGGGTGGAGGTTGACGGAGGCCTGGGGTCTCAGTGATGAAGCTGAACCCTACAAGAAAGAGATGGGTCTTATGGACAGATTCGGCAAGGAAACGGAGGCAGCGGTGGGGGCATCCGGTGTGAGGCAGTACACGGTCCTTCCTCTAACTCATGCCTTTTAGCTTTCTCTCCCCCCCACCCCCCAGCGCATGCCAGAGGAGGTGGGAAGGGTGCACCCGCACTGAAGGATGAGCGCGCGTGCAAAATGCGTACGTGCACGCGCAAGGAGATCCGTGCCCCCACCCTCACCCCACGGCTTATCAGACCTCTCCAGCACCCCCCTTTTCTTATCCACACTTGGAATTCCCCTTTCTAGAATGCTGAACGCCGCCCACCCACACACATGCTTCCATACAAACATATATCCCCATTCCTAACCTCTTTTAGGTTGCCACAGCCCCCAAAAATGGGTAAGGGGAGGGAAGCAGCTTGCGTTTGGGACCTAAAACGGGTGGAGGGAGAATTGGGGGTTTCTTCTGCTCCTGCTATGCTCCCCATCACTCCTGGCTCTTTCCCCCTCCCAGGCTATGTGCCCTAATAGATACCTGGATATCCGCAGAGTCTCTGCCGGGCCAGGATTGAGGTCGTGTCCACCGGGCAGCCAGGGTGGCGGAGCCAGATTCCCAGGGGCCCACATGGCGTTGGGGTGGGGGGGACCCCGGTTCCCTTGGAGTCAGTATCTGCGCCGGATCCTGGTCCCTCCTCCCGGTGCGCCCCGGGCACAGCGCCGGCTCGGGAGGAGAGAAGCTGGGGGGGGGGGATGGGGGCGGAGCTCTCCTGGGCTATTTTTAGCCCTGTTTCTTCGGGTGGGGGCGTCTGGCACCAAACCGCTCCCCCACTCATGCACGCATAAACCCTGAAAAACCTAGAGGCTCCAATTCTGCCTTCCCTTTCTTAGCTGACCTCCCCAAACCTCAACGAACCTAAGTGTCGCTTTCGGAATGACTGTGAGACCCAGACAGGGACCATCCAAATTCTTGGCGGAATTTCAGCAGATCTCCATCCACCCCCACTCTCCTCTAGTTGGTTTGCTTATGTGCTCTGTGCGCCAGACTTAACCTGTCACACACCGCACACGACGCACTCTGCAGAGGGATGTAGACAGGCGATTGGGATCCGCAGCGGGGGCGTATGTAGGTAGGTAGGTAGTCAGAGCGGAGATAACAGCACCACCTCACCTCTGCCAAAAGGATATCCACTGCACAGAGACATCTGGACCTGAGCTCCTTTAGATGATCTGAGGAAGGTAGTTGCCTGGGGTCTAGGGGCATTCCCAGATGCTTCCTTCCCATAATCCCGGGAGGAGAGAGCTAGGCAGGGAAAGCAGGAACCAAGCAACACATCCTGTCATTGTATTTCTTTACTCTCTTGCTTAGACTCATTAATTTCCCATCTTGCTTGAAGGGATCTGTTCTAATTGCTCCTGGTCTTTTCTGTCTTTCTGTCACTACCCACCCCTCTCTCACTGTCTGCTTCTCCTTGCCACCTGCCCTGTCTCCATGGTTACCATAGCTTCCATCTGCATATTTTAGGAATGAATTTCTGTCCAGCTGGAAGGTACCATGGGGAGTCGGGGGATAAGGGAAGAATGCTAAAGATTTGGGATGTGTACCTAGGATTCTGAGATAATTTAGAGGCTGGAGGCCCCCAGGCCCAGGAATCTAAAAACAACATTCCTGGGGCCCAAGATATGGTCCAGAGGGTTACAGGGAGTTAGGCAAAGGCTGCTGATCCCAGCATCCTGTGTGACCGTTGGTTCAAGTCCTGGCTGCTTCACTGCCATGGGAAAGCAGTGTAAGTCACTCACAGGTGGGACCTGGGTAGAATTCCTGGCTCCTGAGTTCAGTCTAGCCCAGCCCTGGTTGCTATGGCTCTCTCTTTCATATATATATATATATATATAAATGTTTTTAAAGTAACATCTCCAGGCAAGGAGAAGAGAACTATTTGCAGGGAAAGTATCCATGTTTGCCAGTTTTTGGATGCCACGTAATGTGCCAAATTTTACATACATTTTTTCAATCCTCATAGCAATTCCAGAAGATAAGAGCTACTATCATTGCCTATGAGGAAACCAAGAAGGGGGTGGGAGGGGGTTAAGCAAGTTCTCCAAGCTTCACAGATATGTGTTGGTCCTTACCCAAAGACTGGTCACTTTATCTGCTCCTAGTCTAGAGGCCATTTTCTCTGACATCCAGGGTGTTCTTGTTGGCTAACTCCTATATTTCATCTCCCAACCCACAACTCCTTTCTGTTTCTGTTTCTTGAGAAAGTAGCACTCACCCTTCCACCCTGACCCCCTTTACCACGGGGCTTGGGGGACTCCGTGGAAAACGCAGAAACCCTGTTCACCCATGCCCAGTCCTTCCTTCCCCCATACCACTCCCCACTTTTCTCACAGACGTGGCAACAGCCCACAAAGCAACATCAACGGTGCTGGAGGGAGGCAGTGCAGAAGTGAAGGAGTGTTGTAGTAATGGAGAAGTCACCAAAAAGTCTGATCCCTAAGAAGCAGCTTTCATTATTCCTCTCATTGCAGAGGCTCCCCGGTTTTTTGGCCTCTCCTTGGAGGCATCCGCAACAGAGATCTAAGCGTCGTCAGGTTCCACCTGCGAACCTCTTCGCCAGCCAGAGGCTCCTCCATCTGGGGTGAAGTCACAAATAACTGACCCCTGGTGGCGCAGCCAGCCTCCCAAGCCTCAGTGCCCGCCGGTTGCCCAGCTCCCTCCTCTGCAGCCGGGCTTTAAGTGGGCGGACCCCGCTCCTCCGCGTCTGCGTGATTGGCCGGGAGAACCGCCAATGGGGAGCTGCGGGGGGCGGGCCTAGGACGCCACCGGCAGGAGGAAGTAGAGCAAAATTCAAGTTGGCGGCGGCGTGGGCTTCGCCTGGGGGAGGGGCGGCAGGTAAGGCTCTGGCCCGGTGGCTGCGACCCGGTTCGAGTTATCACTCCCTGGCTAGTTGAAGCGGGCCAGGCTACAGGGTGGACAAGGCTTTCCGGCAGCTGTTGGCTGAGCCCCCTCCGGCTTCCTCCCCACCCTTCCCGTTGCTGTATAGAATGTAAAACCAGAGAACCCTAGTTCTCTACTGCGCATCAGCAAGATTCGTATTAAAACAGAAAGTGGGAAGGACTCTGCTGTGACATCAACTGGCCCTAATCTGTTAATATTATCCCACAGCCTGTGAGTTTCCCAGACTACTGCTACCTGCCAGGACCCAGCTGGAATGCTACCGTCTGCCTGTAGCTGTCCTGGACCGCACATCCTGCAGAGTTGAGCATTTTCCATTTGATGCATGCTTCTAGGAGAGCACTTAGCAGACATTCTCGCTTTTAATATTTCTGTCCTCAGGACGTAAGGTTTTGGAGGGCAGTTCTAGTATTTAATACATAGTGCCCAATAAACATTCATTGCTTGTGACTGATTTGCAGGAACCTGCCCTCTGGTGAGAGAGGCAGAATTTAAACTCCTAACTTAATTAAGGATCAGGAAAAGACGATTGTAATTAGAGCTGTTTCATTAGCGGTCTGTAATATGACAGTTTTGTAATTGTCCTCTTGATCCAGAGAAGAAAGTGTGAGAATTGGGATGACAAAGAAGGTCTTAGGAATCGGAATGTCTCTTTTGTCAAGAAATAATGTCTTTATTCGCTTGTTCATTCAAGAAACATGTTGAGCACCTAGAGTGTGACAAACACACTGCTAGACGATGCGGCTTGCAGTAATCAGGAGCCCTAGCCTCGCACCCCTCCTTGAACAGGTCAGCCAATTGTTGCCCAACTTTTCTGCACGTCTTTGGTAAGACAACTCTGTTCATTCCATTTTTTTGGACAATTGTTCAAATGTTCTAAATGAAAAATACGTAACTCAATGAAATGCATTCCAGGCTTTCATTAAAAAACAGATCTGCCCTAGTTGTATTCCTAAAAAAAAAAAAAAAAATCTGATTTTGATTATAGAAGTGGTAGACATTTATTCAAGAAAATATGGAAAAAAATAAAGATTTAAGAAAAGCACCTACAGTTTTTAAAAAAGATTTATTTATTTTTATTGGAAAGTCAGATATACAGAGAGGAGGAGAGACAGAGAGGAAGATCCTCTGTCCGATGATTCACTCCCCAAGTGAGCACAATGGTGGTGCTGCACCAATCCAAAGCCAGGAGCCAGGAACCTCTTCCTGGTCTCCCACACGGGTGCAGCGTCCCAAAGCTTTGGGCCGTCCTCGACTGCTTTCCCAGGCCACAAGCAGGGAACTGGCTGGGAAGCGGGGCCTCTGGATTAGAACTGGTACCCATATGGGATCCTGGTGCGTTCAAGGTGAGGACTTTAGCCGTTAGGCTCCCACACCAGGCCCAACACCTACAGTTTAGTGATTGTGTTATAGTGATAATATTTTGCAGCATGTCATTTCAGATTCTTTTTCTGTGTATATACAAGTGTGTGTGGCAAACATAAGTAAGGCCATAAAATAAATACAATGTTTATTATATCTTCTGCCAATATATATTATAAACATTTTTCTGACTTTAAATATTATTTGAAGTCATAATTTTGTAGCTACAGTATAGGCTAAAATAGATGTTTAATTGTTTTTAGCCATTTATTTGTTCTTGGGCAGATTTTTTCTACTACAGATAACTTTGTGATGAACATATTGTACTTCTTTCTCTGACCATATGGATGATGGTTTCTTGTGAATGTATTTTGAAAATGAGATTATTGGATTAAGCTTCTAAATGTTTAAAAGGTTGTTGATTCTATTGATCAAATTGCTCCTTTTAAAGATTTTATTTATAGTCTTTGTGTGACGCATGAAAAAGCATGTCTGAAAAATAACTCATGATAGGGCCCAGCACAGTAGCCTAGTAGCTAAAGTCCTCACCTTGCATATGCCGAGGTCCCATATGGGCACCAAGATCCCATATGGGCACCTGTTCTAACCCTGCTTCCCATCCAGTTCCCTGCTTGTGGCCTGGGAAAGCAGTCCAAGACAGCCCAAAGCCATGGGACCCTGCATCCGCATGGGAGACCCGGAGGAAGTTCCTGGC